TGCGATACATTTCCACATGATAAGCCACGTACTTGAGCTATCATTGGTAGCCAGATGGCTTATAAAAATTAGCTATATAGCTCAGTGGGCCTTATTAGGTAAAATAAAAAAGTCGTTTAGTTTATTTTTAGAAAGTGTTTGTGTATATTTGAAAGCAATTACATTCTCTAGAGAGGGTGGACAAATATCCTGTGTGTAAATACGATAAAGTGTGATACAAGTTCAGTTGGCTTGACACCCACCTGGCAGTGAAAGTATATATCGTAGTGGGTAATGGTTTCCACAGGCCATGAAAAACAATGATCTGTGTAGACAGAATGATGTTGTAAAGTCCTGCTCACTTTAAATAGTATTTACAGTACTATGTGTGTGTATGTGCCTCTGTGGTGAAGTGCCCACTTATAGCAGTCTGTAGGCGCTACAGTGGATCTGTCTATTTTTGTTTGGTAGCGAGGGGAGGGCAAGTATTTAACATACTACGAACAAAACCTGGAAATCTGCGTTTGATTTCTGGCCATGATTAACTTCGATGGCCAGTGTTATCTAAAAATGTGTGGGGCTCCCCTAGGTCAATCTAGCCAGAAATGCCTGGTTTGGTCTGTAAACTATGAAGCTGGAGAGACAAGGGGGCCACAGTACTTCCTCACTCACCATACTAACCTTAATTGCTCGCTAAAAGCTCTTGCCCTAACATTCTGTGTGGTCATAGAAGTTGTGATCTCGTGCAAAAATCCACTATACGTTTTAGCATTATGCGTTGTTTCGCATATACATTGCGGATTAATTAGGGAACATTTTAAATGAAGATTAGTGTAAAACGCACAGTAAATAATGCTCGTGCTTCTGGCAAGAAAATACAAAGAAAAAAATTATTTAATCTAGAGGTTACATTTGAAGTTTTAAAGCATTTTGAAGCAGGTGAAAACGCAGTCGATATTGCCAGAGATCTTGGTCTACCCTTGAATTTGTTGAGAACTATTTGAGTTAATGTGGCCAACATTCTGGAATGTGCTCAAAATGTGCCAGCTTTACAAGCCGCTAAAATAACTCGTGTAGCAGTTGTTGAATTCTAGAAATTATTGAAAGACTTTAAAGTGTCTGGATTGAAGATCAACATCAGTGTAGCTCTTCTACCATCTCTGCTAAGCTGTATCTCATTATTTGTATTTCTTATAAGTAAAAATGCATGTTCATTTATAATTATATGCATTTTTATTCACTTCATGATAATTAGTCTCGTACTTTTTTTCCAGAAATGTTTGCTAATTACTCAACCCCTGATGTTAACATTACATTTATGGGAAATTAGGGTTCGTTTTAAGTAATTTCAATTAAATAGCATTTTTCAGGAAAGCATCCCTTACATAGAGCAGGGGATTCTTGTGTTATGTTGAAATGAAGTTATATAGATAGCAGTGTATTCAATTTATTTATTCAGTAACAAGTGATGGGGACACTTTCAAATTTTTTTTTAAGAAGATAAAACCATTGTGTTCGAATTTCCTTCAAGTTGTACAACCTGCTTAATACTGCAGGTGTGTTGACCATAAGAAAAATGTGCTATATGCTAAACAGTGGACATTGGACATCCAATGATGTATTTCACAAGACGAGACCACTGTGTGTTAGCGCAATGGTCCAAATTTACTCGGTTGGGATTATACATAGCAAGCATCCCCCCCTACTGGGAGACCATAGCGCTTGAACATTTGTCAAGGATGGTTTCTGGCTGCCTTCCAGCCTGTGTCTGTGGTTTTCTGCCCCATGCTGCTAAGTCAGCTTACTATATTCACAGTCGACGGGAGAGCTGAGATCTTAACGCCTGATGATGCTCGATGTAATCTCCAGCGAAACGTTTAGCATTGTCAACAATTTGCGCGCTTTTGAACATTATGGTTTTGCTGAAAAGAAATGTTGGTATATTTGCCAAGATGACAACTTGATTTGATTGGCTCTGTCAGGTGGTGGAGGGTTTTTGCTGAATATTTGTATACCTACACGACCTATTCCAAAAGTAATAATGAATCGACTCATGTATTCATATTAGTGAATATGACAAATGGAATGAAACGAATGCTAATTTCTGACGTTTCAGATCACACAGGCAATGGGCCACATTGCAATCATTTTAAGATATTTAAATTTAGTGTTAACACTGTTTTTCTTCCATTTTTTATGCAAAATATACTTAATCTGCTTTGTAAGACCACTCCATTGTGACTTTTATGTGCATTTATAAGAAATTCAATTTCAAAATGGAGTTCAATTAAGTCCACATTCATAATATGAGGTGTCAGTAGTTAATGATAGTAGTTCAGAAGGAGATTGATTTGTATTTAATTCAGCACACTGCCTCACGGTCATTATAATGTACAATTTTTTCTCTGACTAAATAATGTAAAAAAAAAAATTAGACTTCATTGGAACTCTGTGCATGCTTTAGTTTGAATTGCTGGAATCCCCCAAAAAATGTACATATTGAAATGTTCACAAACAATACAACACATTGTCATGTTTTGCTTCAGAAGAGCGCAATAGCATAAAGTATAACTAGTGTTGCATAAAAAGCACAATTACTTGCCAATAGCATTGTACTAGACAGAAAACACAAAGCTCGCATGATTCAGCCACCACTTTCATTATAGAGACAATATTATTTGACTGTTACGTTGGACGAATGGTCTATATATGTTATGATTCGTTTTTTGTAGTATGCATATATTTCTTCTAGTTGTTTCTTAGAAGATGAGCGCAAACTCAAGGCACCCAAAATCAGCATTTGTTGATGCATTCCCTCATATTCTTACACCTATGTTGAGCCATTCCTCTCCCTTATATTGAGAAGTCATAGAGAATGGGGGACATGATTAATGTCGAGTTTGTTTTCACATAATTGAAAATTTCATCATTATGAGGACATTCCACAAAAATGTGTTCTGCATAATTAATGTGCCAACTTTGAGCCTGATTGACCACATTGAATCAAGGCTACTAATTCAGGTCAACTATGGGAAACTACAACACACTTGACACGTGACCAGGATGAATTGTGCCCTGCGGCGAAGGGGCGGTGATTGAGGGAAAGGTGCTAAGAGGAGAAGAAGACCACCGTCTGGGCTTGACGTCAAACATGATAGGCTCGGCGGGATAGAAGCTGTCTCAGTTCAAAGACGCATCGATGGAGAGAGAGAAGTGGAGAAACTACTGCAAGGAGTTTCGGGTGAAGGAAATGCTCATGACCTAAAAGGCCATGGGACGAGAAGATCACGTGGAATAATACATATTTAGATATGCAGAAACGTCCGTAATTCTGTGAAATAGTGGGGAAATAACAACCAAATATGTACATGAATCAGATTCAATATCTCCATACACCTCTATGCACTAGTTCCGGGATCAGCTCCGGAGCCGCATGCGGCTCTTTAAGGACTGCTTCGTGACGTTATTTATGAAAGACCACCACCATCTCATATTGACATGCATTGCGGCCCTTGAAATAGTGCAGGAATTATTTTTACCAAATTCGAAACAAAATGCTCTTGTTACTTTGGCTGCCGACCCCTACACTAGTTCATTGGGCTGGCACTAGCAGGCTCCCTGCAGCAAGTTCCCTGTGGTTGGGAATTAAATAATGAATTAAGCCACTTCGTTGAGCTATCATTTGTGGCCAGGTCGCTTCTGAAAAAGAGCTACATTGCTCAGTGTGCCTTAATCGTTAACAAAAAATATGTAGAAATCAACTTCACCAAGCTGTCGTTACTCATTCAATGGAAATATGTATTTAGGTGTCTACTTATATTTATTGCAATGTATTCCCCACTATATTTAGATTGCCAAACAATTCCAATGGATTTTCTTTACAGTAAAAACGAGGACCTGTAAATGTTGGCATTATTCCAGCAGACTCTGAAAATAATTTTCCCATTGCCATCAATATAGAGCATGACGGCACCAACTCATTTTACATTTACAGTCCCGAATAGGAAATAGTTAACGCAACAATTCATATTATATTACAAATCAAAAGTGCTTACTTAGAGAAAATATGAGACCCGTGCATCATTATTACTTCCCAAACTTTTGTGATGTTTACGTTCTTAGTCTTAGATTTATTTATCAATGCCAGCTGTACTGAATCGTATCACCCCTGAATCGCAGTGCTTTTGTTTGAGAAAAGTAAGAGTACATCAACACATCCGCTGTGCTTTGTTCATTTTCCTTGGTTGCAGTCTCGATGGCTGAACAAGCGTTGCTTTGCTGTCATCCCATCAAGCTGAATTATGCCTCCCCCAGATTTTAACCGAACCAGCCCCAGGAGGGGTGTCTGTGAATCACACAAAGAATCCTAAGCAACAAACCCAACCACTGTCCCCCTCGCACCCCACTGTCTCCCCCCCCCCCCGCAGAAGCTCCAAAGCAACGTGGACATTGATGCGCAGCCCTCGAGAGGAGTATGTGAGAACAATTTAATGAGCGTGCTGGAGGACGCGTGGAATACTGATGCGGCACACATCGGGACAGATTTTCGCAAGTTTTCTCCTATGTTGCCATACTATTCAGCCACGAAACGTTCACACGTTTGCAACTACAGCTGCTGCGTAAATGTGCGCACCCCGTAAAACCTACTTATACATTGGCATGCCTTGCACACATGCTGTTACCCGTAATTCTTGTGAATGGCATTGCACTATCGTGGCTGTGTTTAATTTATCAGTGTGTAAAGTGCCCGTCTTGAAAAAAAAATATTAATTAGGCATCATTCGAAGTGTATTGTGTACACCCACTCGTGTTAGATAAGAGAACACGGTGTGAGAGATTTCTGTCAAGTGACCTCTTGAAAAAGAATGGCTTAGTCTCCACTCGGGACGACTCGAGTATTAGTTTCTCCCTCTGGTCTAATAAAGCGATGAGGCGCGGCGTGAACTGCCAGCTGTATTTATATCCCACGGGCCTTACATGGCCGTGTGGCTTGGGAGACATGCCTCTAGGGTTCGCACACACAAATGGCAAATTATAGGCAGTGCTGTTTTGGCAGTGAGTTGATGCTGTATGCTAACTTCTTGCGGGTCCCTCAACGCTAAAGGCAGAAAGCTTCCACTTTGCAACTCAGCTCTCTTCCTTTCTGGGGTTTAGGCAGATCTGGTAAGCATCCATACACAGAAAGCAACAACGTGTAATGTGTTTAGGAATTTGTGTATTGTCAGTAATGTGCTTTGTGCAATGTTTGGATCTGCTTAATTCTCACTTATGCTTCGTAACTTTGGTACACTTTGTCATGGTGGCATATATGTTATTATTTTTCCTGCATGGAAGGTTGCCAGCATTATTAACGTGACGTTAAAAAACTGGAATGTACACATATGATGTAGTGAATACATTTTAGTGTCAAGCATTACATATGTGATTTTATTGTATATAATAATAATAATATTTTACTGAATTCTTGCTTTACTGAGTGTGGCCATCACTGTGCCCGCAGTGTACAATAAAATAAATGTAACTGTAATACATCACCAAGAATCTCCATTACATTATATCCACCACGATATATAACGCAATAGATTTAACGTAGATTCATGTTCTTTTCTAGAATATTTATTTATTTTATTTTTAACCTGACTTAATTTTATTTTATGAGGTGGATTTTTTTTGGTTTATCCTGTAATATGGTCCCGTGGTGTTTAATCAATTGCGTAGTAATTCCCATTCTGAAAAGTAAAATGTATGCTCTAAATTCACGTCATTACTTTAAATGTAGGTGTCTAAAACAAAACTACAATATGTGAGTAATGCACTGTACACTGAGGATAACTTATGATGGCTATAACATTAAAGGCGAAAAAATATGTAGAGTTTGGTAAAAGTTTGCCCACTAAAGTGTACTTTATTTATGACGGCCAACACCAGTGACGATTATCTGAACCGGTCCTGGGCCTCCCCGAGGTTGACTCAGCCTCAAATGAGTACCTGGTGCGGTGTGTAAACATCGCCACTGGGGAGACAAAGGCGGCCGGGCGTGGTGTTGGCCACCCTACCCCCTCGTGTGCCGTGCCAGCCTTCATAGGTGCTCGCGAACAGCACTTGCCCCTACAGTCTGTTCAGGCTATACGGGAGATCTGTCTTTATCTTTGTTTTTTTTAAGTAATGGCCGGTCTCAATTATGGGCTGCATCAAAATACGACAGAGGATGACCTTCGATTTGTTTTTTTTGTTGCATGAATGCACAGAGAAGCGGACGACCAGCAAGGACAAGTCGGCTGACGCTCACATTGTAAGGCATCGGTTGTGTCCTCGTCATGGCCTCATCAACGTCTTCGGCCTCCTACTTCAAGCAGAAGCACCGGCAGTACGACCACCAGTATCGCTCCAAGCAGGTGCAGTCCGTGCTGCAAGAATATGGATCGGAGAGCAGACAGGCAGAGCACAGCCGGTAAGCGCACGGAGCTGGGACGTACCAAGTACTCACGTAGCCATTGAATGAGCTTGCTAATATTGCAAATGTTTTATTATGATGACTTCCTACCCCATGGTCTCTTCACACTCAGGTGTGTGTCAGTGTGGAGACATGCAAAGTGGCATATGAGCAGGCAACCTGATATTGAGTCCAGGGCTTGACAAACACCACTTCTGAGTGGTATTGAAAAGTCGGTCATAGGTTCCCTCCACTGCACCAAGCCACGCCAACCAATGTGGTGAAGTACGGCTAAACAACCTCAATGACTCACATGGCACGGGGATGCCTACATCTCGGAGTTAATACATAGATGTCATTTGTTATATGTTGTGCGAGTATTTTTCTTCCTATAAAGTGTGCATATTATACTTGATGTATAATCACGTCAGCGTAACGCTTCAGAGTAGCATATGAATAATACATCTGTTGTATAGTTGTGAGGAATATACTAAACCAAGTGTCACATTGTGCTTACATAAACATTCGTGATACCTAGGGTTGATTGCAATGGAAACAATGGAATTATTTTACCCGCACAACGTTGAGTGACTTTCACTCGAGGCACATTCCGTGACATATATAGGCCTCCTCAAGCCGTATCAGTTATGGGCGTCATTTGAACACTGGTAAATGGGGTTTGTGAAGTGGGGAAGGCTAGGACTGGTTTTAGATGCCACTCATCACTGATATTTACCATGGGCGGGAATTCAATTCATTCTTGATTTTAAACTTTTTTATACCTACGTGACTTTACCGAAAGAACCAAAGCGCATAATTCAATTCATGTGGTCAGGTTCAGAGCAGTCATACTTATTTTATGAAACTCACCTTTATTTTTCCTGTGTCATTTTTGATTTTGCTAAATCGTCCGTGCAACAACTTTCCAGGCGCATTCCAAACTCTTCACTTCCCTCAGCGGCATGCATCTGCAGATAACGTGTGCCATTGGTTGTCTCGGCCTTCTCCAAAAATAACTGAAATTACAGACGGGAGTGCTGCCTGTCCATTGGTCACACCTGCTGTTGAACATTAACAGACGTGAGCGGGGCAGGCAGGCAGCCACTTGTTCTAGTGACTCCGAGTGCTGCTTCTGTCCGCCGGTTGGGACAAAAAAAAGGTCCATTGCTCCTTGTGTTCAAGAGACTCGTACTCTTAGGTTTTTTCGGTAAAGTCACGTAGGTACAAAATTAAATTATAAAAATAATAATATAAATAATAATAATATTTCAATTATTTTTTTATTTTATTTTTACCTACGTGACTTTACCGAAAAAACCTAAGAGTATGAATCCTTGCAGTCACGAATGCTTCAAATCTAGAATTCAAGAGACTCGTCGATCTGTGCATCTCCGTTGCCTCTGGTGGGGGACGAGTGCTGTAAAGAGGGTGGGGTGATTATTGGGAGAAAGTGGTGGGACGTGAAGGGGTTGGGTGGGACGAGTGACATATGGTGTTAGTGTGGAGTAATGGAGAGAATGTGAGTGTGGCGAAGCTCTGACAGTAAGCTTTAGCTACCCCAATGCCCGTCACAAATGTGGCACCTCCGATTAGCGCGGTTGGCTATGTACGTTGCGAAAGAAGTTCGGGATACATGCATACATGCACAAAAATATGCACACATAATCGTATTAACCTGAGCACGCACTTGTGTATAATCTGACTTTCCTTCATAATTATATAGTCATGTTTAAAATGGCGTGTTTCCATTTAGAGCACAACCTGCTTGCATGTGTGCTATAAAACTATAAATAAATGTACTGTCCATGTATTTTTTTTACAAACCAATATTAACATTGCACAGGGGATTCAAATAGTCCATTCAATTACCAACCCATATCTAATCTCTCATCTTAAACATTAGACAAATTGGTGCAGAAATAGTTAATCAACTATCTAGAGTATTATCTAAAGTTAACAGGATATCAGTCTGGCTTAGACCTCAGCATAGCACTACCAATGCTTCACTCACAGTTGCAGATAACATTTCCAGCAGATACCTTGACAAAAAAAACATCTGCTCAGCAGTTTTCACATTTTTGGCTAAGTCATTGATACTGTTGATCACAATATCCTTCGAACTAGGTTACTTTATTCTGGCCTCAGTGAAAACGCAAAAGGTTAGTTCATAATGTATGTGGCCTATAAATAAATACGCATAACACCGGGATTTTGTTTCCGATGACTTCACTCAACTCGTCAAAGGTGCCCCACATGATTCTATGATCTGTCCTATTCTATGCTCAATCTGTACAGCATCAAATCTATCTCAGTATAGATTGTTTTACTTCATGCTGGTGACATGGTTCTATATACCCCAGCATCTGAATGCAAACACAAGACAATGTGTGAAAGTAAAACTAAACTATTTATATTTTACCAGCTAAATAGATATTTTTCAGAAGAAACCTGGAAATACATAGCAGCCAAATACTCTAAATGCATGTTTCTAAATCTCGAGGGAAAATCGGAGGACCCGGAGAACAATTAATGCGATCATGGGAAGGACATGCAAATTCCAAATATACAGGCGTCAGGGTCGGGATTGAACCCACAACCTCCTGTATACCAGGCGAGGTAGTTAACATCTCACCACCGGGAATTTGACGAGCCCCAGCTGCAAATTTCATGTTGAAAATGTTAACAAAAACGTTATGAAGTTTCAATAATTCTATTATACACGTAAACATGTGATGGATGCTACATTTATACCTATCCGAGACTGCTGCCATGTACAAATCAACATCAGGAATGACTTCGGCATCATTTATGTATGTTGAACTTCTTTCACACCGTACGTAGCCAACCATGCTAATCAGAGGTGTTGGGGGAGGACAACAAACTCAACACAAAAAGTAGTTTTAAAGAAATGAGTTTTCAATCTAGATTTAAAAGTGCATAGCTCCAGTGACTTCCGAATATCGGAGGAAGAACGTTCCAGACAGCCACAGAATCGCATCTAAAAGCAGCACGATGCAGTGACGGTCTTTGTTCGATGGTTAGCCAAAAGCTGCTGCGAGGATGACCGGAGTTCACGTGAAGGTTTATGCGCCTTCATGTGAGACTAATTACTATAGTAAATTTACTAATTGGTATGGTTTATTTGACATTATGATTGGTTGGTCACAGGGAGATTTATGAAACTCCAAAACCTGCTCGGCAATGAGCCTTTACCAGGAACACTAGCTCTTTTTCTTGTTCTTCATCATCATCAGCAGCAGTGACAGCAGCAACAGCAATGTGATTGTCATCATCTTCAACGAAATATTCATTACCATTCATACAATAATCATCATCACAAAATCATTACAATAATCTACATTCTAAGAAATATCTTCATTGCCCTTGGTTCCCGTTCACCTTCATCGTCGCTGCCTTACTCTCCATCTCGGTGTTTGCTAAAAAGTTTAGAGCAAACTTTTCTCAATACTTTTGATTTTGGAAAAATGGCCCATTGCGTCATCTCAGTGCTCCCTGCAAATGCCATACTCTCAAAGCGCAATTTACCTAGTTCTGTATGATGGCATTGCTCTGACCCTGCCTTGACCCCGCATATTATTGGCCGATCGGGCTGACGTGAGTGGCGGTGGAATGGGTGCATTTCGGTGTGAAATTGTCCTGTGCTGAATTGCAAAATGTGGAAAGGGGCTGGTTTTGAAACAAAAATGATCATCATTCTGCCACTTTTTTTGGTAGAATGACAGCCAAGATAGCTCCATGAATCGGGCCCTCAATCATTCAAGCTCGACATATCAAATGAAGTGCTACTAACGTTGTGCTGCTTGATTTGTTTGTTTTTACAGCAAAAAGTTCATTGTTTATATTGATGGAGGCTCTGGCTTAAGCGACCTGGATAGTTTATCGATCGCAACTTCCCGACATCCAACACATTCGAGCATTTTGTCAAAGTCTATGGTTGGAAGTGGATCGATCGGTGTTTCAGAACGGTAAGTCACGTCACAATATGCACACTTTTTACTAAAAGTCTCTACTGGCCATTGATATCCATTGTGGGCGAGTGGGTGAAATTTGTCATTTTGCTTTTTTTTCACTTTGAGGAATGTGGGCTTGATGCATCAAGAAGGACGCAGCTCTGCGGCAAGTCACAGTCGAGTGAGCAGCAGCAGCAGCAGCATGAGCAGCAGGCAGAGCAGCAGCAGCAGCAGCAGCAAAGTGGCAAGCTCTTCCTTTCGCTCGGCAGAAGAGATCCTGAGCAGCAAACGGCATGCCACACGGGACTACTCTGAAAGTGCTGCCATTAAAAAGGTTAGAAAACTCTCCACGACATTCTTGGGATGAAGGCTGCTTTAAAGCACGTGCCTACATCATTTCACCGTGAAGTCCTTACGAGGCTTCACTGCCCAGAAATGAGGTGGCTATAAAATCCAAACAAGCGTGTTACGTTTGCTAATGCAAGGTTTCCACGCTACTAGATACCGGCTGCAATTAATTAAAATAGTTGCAGACTTAATCCCCACTGGCGCTTAGGCCTTCATAATGTGATGGACTTCAGAATACATCATATAGCAAAGATGTTAGACGTTACAATGTAGTTAATTATATAATCATATACATAATGGTTTCAGCTTGCTTGGTTAATTAGGAAAGAGAATACGAGTCTTTTTAGATGTTATGCTTTCCAGCGGCTGCCGCAAAGTTCACGTACGGTTGAAGTTTCACTGGAACAATTAATTATGAAGGATTTGTTTAATTGCTTACAACATCAGTTGCTTGGTTCAGTCAATGTTATAATTAAAAGTTTGAAAATTCATTGCTTAATTCGTTAAGTGAATGAATTTTTTTTCACTTTCATTGATAGATACAATCTTGATTTGAAGCTTTCGTGACTGCAGAAATTCATACTCTTTGGTTCTTTCGGTAAAGTCACGTGGGTAGAATTGCCTTTATTATATTGATAGATAAGCTTTATTGTCATCTTTCACTCCAAATTATTGTTATTTTTAAATGATCCCTGCACTATTTTTGGACCCTAAACTTACACGAATCATAATTGAGTACCATCGTCATACAAATAGCGCAAGGCGATCATTAAGACACGATGTATCGCAGATGTGTATAGTCTGCCAGCAGGGGGTGATGTTAACGTGTTTTTTTTTTCAAAAATAAGTAATTTGCCAGGTTTTCAAATTTGAACCTGTGACACCGGCATAGGTGGCTGACCCGTCTTAAAATAACTTCACCAGATCTTTAACGTCCGTTTGCCATGGCCAGCCATGCTAATCGGAGGTGGACGGCATCTAATTGGTTTACCCGTTGAATTAACCAGGGCGGCCACTGCGATTTGACCACGAGCCTCTGCAACCAGAAACCAATGGGCTAACGCTTGGTTATGTCACCGCCCATGCACACCACAGTTCCGTACTGTAGTGTCTCACTCCAATGGGCATCCTTGATTCACACGCTGCCTGTGTTGGTCTGTTGCAGGTGCATGCTGAGTCCGAGTCCTATCTCAGCCAGGTCATCGACGGGACGATGCATCGAGTCCCGCAGTTCCTGGTGAAGCCACGCTCCCATTCCGTGTGGGAGAAATCAAGCACCAGGTTCATGTGCACCGTGCAAGGCTTTCCCGAACCTTATGTCAAATGGTGAGCACTTGTATCGTCCGCATGTCATATTCGCAGTGGGATGCCGTCGTGGTTTCGTGGCTTGCAGAGTGAGCCTGCAATCCAGTAGACCTGCGATTCGATTTGATCCCTCGGCTTGTCATTAGAAATAATGGCATTGTTACTTATATAACTTCGCCTCTGTCCACCCGAAGGTACAAATGGCGTACATTACACTTATTCGATCAGCAATCGTGCATGCAGTTGGGTAACGTGTGGGTACTCTCACTAAAGACCTCTGAAAGAACCAAAACGTAAAGACATCTGGTCAGAATGGAAAAGTAGGATAAATGTCCTCTCCAGAGGTCCATCAAGTGGAGGCACTTATGTGACCAGTCGTGCAAGCAACAGTTGCAGGGCTGCACCTTTATCCTTTTCACTATTATCAACATGGAGCATTTTCTCTGTTTACCATTGCTCAAGTGCAGGCATTGTGAACTCTTTAAATGTAATGGTTATTCAGGATTGCATACAACAATGTGCATGAGTGGTTGAAATAAACAATCCTGCATTTTGATCAGTGAAACAATGCACGACTCAGTCTCCAAGCTGCAGCACATCAACATCAATTGGGCACATGTTGTGAAAATTCAGAATGCCGGCACCAGAGGGTACATTGCACAAGAGATGATGCGTCACTGTTTGCCATCTGTCAGCCGGTTTTTGATTCCCTCCACCGCTATACGTCTTTACTTTTAAAATCCCAGATAAGGCCTATAACTGAGCTTTAATCTCCACTGTGTCAGTCAGTCACATAATCAAGGCCCACCATCTGGGAATTAACAGAACAATAGCTGTGATTGTACTAATTAAGCCAAGGCACATGGGAGATTGCCGATCAATTCTCATGCACTTGCCTTGCTGTCAATGCCATAATGAGGAGCTGAGTATGCTCGTAAAATTGTACTTTGGCGGATGCTCGGGTTTTCTTTTATGGCACTCTGCTCTCTCCAGCCAGCACTCTGTTGACTTCATAAAATTATTTACAGCCAGGCTAACATGACAAATCGGTTTTGGATGAAACACTGAATAGCCTTTAAAACAAACAAAGCGAGGTGTTAAAATGATGAAGCAGAATCATTTGTGGTGCTCATAGCGAGAATGGATTACAATAACGGGAGTTATTTTTGTTATTTTGAGAAGTTGATTCCTTAACAATAGCGTCAGCACAATGCGGCCTGGAATCAATTCTCCCCATCATTGCCTCTCAGTGAGAGGACTTCCACTGCAGCTCCACCAACAGGCCGGTCTCCCATGATCCCGCACGTGTGTAAATCTCCATTAAAGTGTCCTAACCAATGTTTATTTTTCGATTCACTTAACCAGCATTTGTAGTCACGGGGTTAAACAAATATGGTAGCTGTCTTCTCCACTTTATTTTTGTGATTTTATTTCTCAAGAAATGTTATCCCTATTGTGCTATCAGCATCGCGCGATGAGGTGAACTGTCAATTATGATCTCTCACTGAACAGTGCAACCCATTCATTTTAGAGAACAGGCATTAAAGTGACCTCTTGGTTAAGACAGTAGAAGGGATTCACATTCTCTGCATATGAGAGTAATGTTCGCTGCTATATTTTCATTCACCACATTTATAGAGTTAGAACCTTGTAGCGTAACGTAGAACCAACCCGCTATATCGTTACTATTAAATTCAAGGGGTAATATTTAAGTTCATTATGAATTATGCCCGTGTCATCCACCACTGCAAATGTTGTAAACAAAAATTCCAGAAAGGACGTTGCCTAATAGAGACAATTTATTACGAATTTAATTCGTTTTAAAATAAAAAAATATATATATTAGCATGATGAATGTTATAATGTTGTTAGATGCGCTGGTCATATTTAATTCGCGTTTGTTTTGACAACAATGCAATTAATTAGCAGCTTAGTTTTGGTCGAATTAAAATGTGGAGGCATTTTGATATTTTGTCGGCGTCTACATTGCTTCCCATCAAATGAATAATAATTTAAACCACGCAAATGTCAATTATGGGGATTCTTTGACCACACTTCACGCTGGCCATTGTGAGTTTTTGCTGAAGAGGGAAGCCTCGGAACTTGTTCAGATATCACTCGACACTAATGAGAGCCAGGGCCAGAAATCAAACTCACATTGGGAGGTTTATAGAGCGCATTGTGGTTATAAACACCGCGTGCCACCGCTGGCCCCCTCCTTTATCTTTGAAGGTACAAAAACCACATCCAGATTGATCCACGCTGCAGTGCTGGGAAATATGAAGTTTATGGCAACTATGGTGTGTACACGTTGGAAATCAACAGGTGAGTGGAAATTAACGATGAATCCGTACATTTTACCTGAACGTAATTGTTGATTGATTTTATCTATACTGGGCTGTTGTTGTATTTCTTAAATATATGCTTAATTATGTACAGTATTAAATGTTATGTGGAATGAATGTCTTGCCGTCACCTAACCAGGACCACCGCCCTTGGAAATGAGATGTTTAATCTCAATGGTATATCCTGCAAAGTATACACACTCACCTGAAGTATTTGACTAAAATAGGACTATAACATATTGCTAGTTTTTTTTAAATAGTCGTCAAAACCGAGTGACATTTTCACCTTGTATTAGTTAACGCATCTCTGTTTTGGTGAGGGAGAACAAGCCCTGAGTCTGACCTGTATGGATGCACGTTGGTATGTGCAACTCGTGGGGACTGTTGCTGGCAAGAAAACAAAAAGCCACTCGTAGGCATAGTGTGGAAATATTGTTAATTATAGTTTCGCTCCTGCGTATGAGCATGTGTCGTTACGTCAATTTAAGCCGTGGCTTGGCTTTGTTTAAACGCCGAGGCACATTAATTGAAGGCAACTTATTTTATTGTTTTGTTTTGCATGCTTCCTTGGATGGAGCGGCTTTGGAAGGAGAAATAGGGTTTTCGTGAAATAAAGAATTCTTCAAAAAAGGAGGACTTGACCCCATCACCCCATTCATGCCTGCCATTCCTGACAGCTGCCCCCCCTCCAAAAAAAAATCACCGGGCGCATGCTGTTTTCGACATCTAGGCAATGTAACATGCACACCTGAGAATATCGGTGGCTGGTAACGGTGACATTTCCATGACATCACACTCATTAACTTGCAAGCCGGACAAGTCAGAACAAATTCGTTCTCAAACGCATTAGGCGGCGCACTGCTGCTCGACATGCACGGCACGTAGCCCATGCAAGTAATACCCGGAGACGAAGCAGAGGGGCTCTTTGTCAAAGGCTTGTGATCAGATAGCGCAATTTCCACTCTCCGCTAGTTAATCTACGGCACTGAGTTGTAAGTTTGTTTTAAATGAGGCCAAACAGGGACAATCACGAGTCCTGCCGCATTGGTCGTCCATCACATGCTGATATATCTTGAGGAATGTAAAGACCAAGTGTTGAGTGGCCAAAACTATGTTAATGGAATACATTTTGAGTTGAGTGCACTGTTTTCCTACCGGCATCCAGACTGCTGAAGTAATGGTAATGTTCTTGCTCTGGCCTTGGCAGTAATGTCAGAAGAGCACTGCTAAATATATATATACCACTCAAGCAGGATTGAGATATGATGATGATCATCAGCTGTGATCTACTCACTTCTGGATGAAGGCCTCCACAATCCGTCATTATCTCTCATTGTCTCACGATGCCACGAAACCATATAGCTGATGCACACGAGCTGATTTCATCGCTCCATCTCCACCGTGGATCTCCTTTCGGGGGCGCTCTCTCTTTGGCGTCTACCCCATTGTTTGCCTTCACCACCGGTCATCAACCCTCTTAGTTATGTGTCCTGCTTGAGCCCACTTGACACTTCTTCATAGTCAATATTACATGCAGTACTTCATGTATGTTCTTTGACAATGTGTTCTTCTTTCTGTCTCTCAACATAAATGTGAAAATACCCCCTCCCCGCTACCCTTCTTTGACACAATTGACACAAAGGCGGTCACTATATCGCACGTTTTCAGATGCGATTCTGCGGCCGTCTGGAACGTTCTTCCTTTCAATATTGGAAAACCACTGGAGCTATTCACTTTTAAATCTAATTTGAAAACTAATTTCTTTAGAACTGCTTTTAGTGTTTATGTTTGTTGTCTTCTCGCACTTCCGATTAGTACGGATGACGACATACAACAGCATACGTACATTACAACAGTAATTGCATTGTATTGCTCATCGTACGTGTTTCTAACAGTAAACAAACTATATACGGTAATACCCCAATTGCCGTCTCACACGTTTACATCGTTTCGCAATGCGTCGTCACTTTACTATTACTATCACTTCCCGATTTGCGTTGCCTCAACCCACACTTGCGTCGCTGACGGCATCGTCCACCCTTTCTCGTATCTATCGCCTCTCAAACCTTCGCCTCCATCACCTACCACGCAAATTGCTCTGATATGCTTCTCTACGATATTCCTCGTTGCGCCGTTCACGAATGCTTCCCCGCCATAAACCGGGGTCTTACTTTACTATACTCTACAGTGATGTTTATACATCAATAAGATCGAGATATATTGTGCATAAAACACTGACATCCACGTGCCAGTAGTTTTCTTGTGGCCCTGTGGCAAATGGATGGGCTGTCTTGTATTTGATCGCAAGCAAAAGAAAAGGAGACACTTATTACAGCTATTGGCAGCACTACACAATGAACTATTCTTGTGAATCACGTCACAAGGTCATTAACATAATCGTGACCTTTTGACGTAAGCAGCACTGGCATGCAGAGGCTAGACTGAATATACTTTGGCAAATTGCTTCACTGGCAAGCACACTCGCCATAATAAACTCAAATTAGTCTATAAATACATATTGCGGCCATTACAAATCATTCAGACAAATTTTAAAAAGGCCTTTATTTATATTGGCGGATTTGACTATGAACTCAACATTTAAGCCTTCTAAAACATATATACTTTCGTCCAAGAATATCAAACATCACTGTTAACGTGTTACCCGATGGGTGTTTGTAAAGCACATCTGCCGATCTATTTGCACGTTCCTTACAGCCACTCACTTAGCTGTCACGGCTCTTGGGCTCTATTCCCAACATGGTGTTGACACCCTCGCAACTCCATGTAATAAGTGCCAGAACTTAACCCAATACCTCATCTGCACTGTTCACTGCATCGTGTTCATCATTAGCGTGAAGGGACATTTATCTTGAGTTTTCGTTACATGTAATGACTTCAAGTCTGATGCCGACATTAAGCCACTGATTTCCAATTAAACCATTAATTAATGCATACACACCTTTTAGTGATTGTGCTTTTATTACGATGGCATTTTAGGTTTGTATTTGTACTGTCACCTGTGCGCCGGTATCTATCATATACAAACAACGAGTTTGGAGTAGAATGGTGTTTGCGGAAAAGCACACTGCACTGGAGAAGCTGGTGTTGTTATGCTGCCATTGGAAGAAAGCCATATTACATACACGTGTTGGCCACTCAGTTCAAATGCTAAAGAGGCTGAAATTAGGGTCTTGCACAACCGTGCTTTGGTAGGTAAAGGGGTTAAAAGGGTGAAACAGGCAAAGTGCCACGTCTAATGAGCTGACAGAACTGTTGAAGGCAAGGCACAGGGGAGCCAATGGAAGAGTGGCAGGCCCAAGGAGGGATCAGACATGTGAAACATCTCTACATGAAATATATCACTCCTGAATTAATTTCTAGCACCTTGCGAAGCCCCGTAAGGGCTGCAAAAGATCCTAAGATGTGATAAATTAATAGGCTGGTATTGCGTGTCATGGGGATGTCTTATAGTCCCCATCTATGCACTTGCAGCTGAAACAATAACAGATATTTACTGCGTGGAAGTCCATTTTATTGCTAGACTTTCTGGCAATTTCTGTCGATATTTTAGACGTGAAATTAATTTTTAAACAAAATGCTAGAGTTCGTGGTGAACGGTATAATTAACATATTTTAAAAGTACATGTTATGCTAAAAATTATTTTTTCAAAATACGTATGGGTCATAATAATCATCAGCCATGGTCAATCCACTGCTGAATGAAGGCCTCCTCAAGCATCTGCCACCTCTCACGATCCTTGAGATAACAGATATAATCGCTCTATCTGCCCAAATGACTTCTTCTCGGGCATATTTCATTCCCGATGTAAAAAAAAAAATAAACGCATGCAATATGTATTTGCTTTTTTTCAAGCATAATACACGACGAACTTAGATATTTAATACATGTAACTTTCAATCATCATAAAACGTCATCAATGTATTTATAACATCATAATCATGGTCATTGCTATCAGTAGATAGGAGGCAAAAAGTGTTTTATATTTATTCAGCAAAGAAAATGTACCCACATGGTACTTCCTGTACAATGTTAGTATGCATGGAAATTGCGTGAAAGAAACAGAGGCAGTTTACAGACAAAGGAACATTTGTCAGCAGTTGCCTTAGGTGTGAAGTTGTACGCAGCTACGGAACAAGACTAGGAGCCGTGCACAAACAATTACACTGGCCTGTCGATATCCCATCTCTGCTGAAGGCTCTGTAAAACAAAATCAATTGCCAACAAAAAGTGCTGATTATTTTGCTATGCCATCCTGATAAGTTATGAATTAGTAACTTGGAATTGGTCAGACATCTTGAAACAGGCGGGAGTCCCCAAACGCTACCCCACCGCATGCAGCCTGCCGATCACAAGACTTAATTAGTGTGAATGAGTACGTATTTATTAAATCACAGTGTTTGTACTAGAGGCACATTTGGCACGTTTGTTGTTAGATACCAGGCTTAATTTAGTTTCACGAGCAGTCTAAGAACTTTAGTCAGTAATTGTGATGTTATTTTTTGCTCACGAGATGTTGGCTTCAAATAAGAAAAAGTATGAGAAAGCTTGCTTCATAGGGGTCACTGGGAGCATAACTTGGCATATATGGAATGGAAATTATTCAAGAGGACATCCCACCGATTAAATTGGAGTGTTGAAATCAGCTGGTGTGCAGTGGCTTTACCATGGTCGATGATGGCGATGATGGTGTTACGAAAACAAAAAGAGACGATATGTTTTTCCAAATTGCAATCAATACAATTTAATAAATTTGTCATGATTAACTTAACATATGTATAAACATACAGTGAGGGAAAAAAGTATTTGATCCCCTGCTAATTTTGTACGTTTGCCCACTGACAAAGAAATGATCCGTCTATAATTTTAATGGTAGGTTTATTTGAACAGTGAGAGACATAATAACAACAACAAAATCCAGAAAAACGCATGTCAAAAAATGTTATAAATTGATTTGCATTTTAATGACGGAAATAAGTATTTGACCCCTCTGCAAAACATGACTTAGTACTTAGTGGCAAAACCCTTGTTGGCAATCACAGAGGTCAGACGTATCTTGTAGTTTGCCACCAGGTTTGCACACATCTCAGGAGGGATTTTGTCCCACTCCTCTTTGCAGATCTTCTCCAAGTCATTAAGGTTTCAAGGCTGACGTTTGGCAACTCGAACCTTCAGCTCCCTCCACAGATTTCTATGGGATTAAGGTCTAGAGACTGGCTAGGCCACTCCAGGACCTTAATGTGCTTTTTCTTGAGCCACTCCTTTGTTTCCTTGGCCATGTGTTTTGGGTCATTGTCATTCTAGAATACCCATTCACGACCCATTTTCAATGCCCTGGCTGAGGGAAGGAGGTTCTCACCCAAGATTTGACGGTACATGGCCCCGTCCATCGTCCCTTTGATGCGGTGATATTGTCCTGTCCCCTTAGCAGAAAAACACCCCCAAAGCATAATGTTTCCACCTCCATGTTTGACGGTGGGGATGGTGTTCTTGGGGTCATAGGCAGCATTTCTCCTCCTCCAAACACGGCGAGTTGAGTTGATGCCAAAGAGCTCCATTTTGGTCTTATCTGACCACAACAATTTCACCCAGTTGTCCTCTGAATCAGTCAGATGTTCATTAGCAAACTTCAGACGGGCATGTAGATGTGCTTTCTTGAGCAGGGGGACCTTGCGGGCACTGCAAGATTTCAGTCCTTCACGGCATAGTGTGTTACCAACTGTTTTCTTGGTGACTATGGTCCCAGCTGCCTTGAGATCATTGACAAGATCCTCCCGTGTAGTTCTGGGCTGATTCCTCACTGTTCTCATGATCATTGCAACTCCACGAGGTGAGATCTTGCATGGAGTCCCAGGCCGAGGGAGATTGACAGTTCTTTTGTGTTTCTTCCATTTGCGAATAATCGCACCAACTGTTGTCACCTTCTCACCAAGCTGCTTGGCGATGGTCTTGTAGCCCATTCCAGACTTGTGTAGGTCTACAATCTTGTCCCTGACATCCTTGGAGAGCTCTTTGGTCTTGGCCATGGTGGAGAGCTTGGAATCTGATTGATTGATTGTTTCTGTGAACAGGTGTCTTTTATACAGGTAACAAGCTGAGATTCGGAGCACTCCCTTTAAGAGTGTGCTCCTAATCTCAGCTCGTTAAGAGTGTGCTCCTAATCTCAGCTCGTTACCTGTATAAAAGACACCTGGGAGCCAGAAATCTTTCTGATTGAGAGGGGGTCAAATACTTATTTCCCTCATTAAAATGCAAATCAATTTATAAAAATTTTGACATGCGTTTTTCTGGATTTTTTTGTTGTTATTCTGTCTCTCACTGTTCAAATAAACCTACCATTAAAATTATAGACTGATCATTTCTTTGTCAGTGGGCAAATGTACAAAATCAGCAGGGGATCAAATACTTTTTTCCCTCACTGTAACATTAAACGCATAGTATACATAGGGTAGCCAAAAGTCAGGACACATGGTTATTTATTTTATTTTAACACTGGCTTAAAAAAAATGTATTATTCAAATTAATATTTTATCTGTTATCATTAATATTATTATTCTTCTTCCTGTGCGGATCAGCTCAAATTTGTCGTTTGCAAAACTTGACCAAGAACCAGAATGCATCGAGACAAAACATAATCGATGAACGTTCAAAGATTACACCTGCAATGTTACAAAAAAGTCCAAAATTCATTTAAAAAGAGAATTCATGCGTGCATTCATGTTAATAGAAGTCAGTTTGAACATAAAAAAAAAATGAAATAACCGTCTGTGATTTGTTAAAATAAATATAACTCTTTGTGGTCTTGACTTTTGGGCCATCCTGTATAATGCTGCAGCCGCACGTAATTTGACTATGTATAGTATATTTATCGTAGTAAATTAACGCGTAATTGAAATTAAATGAAGCTGGCCTCGCTGTTAGGCTTCACGTTGTGCATGCTAAACTGAGAAATGAGATTTGTCATTCATCTGGACAGTTTGTGTGCATTATTCATATGGCTGCTGGCCTTCGTGGTTGAATGCATTAAACAAAGTACATTTCTGAAATGGCTGATGGAAAAAAAAGAAAGTATGCATTCAAAAACCCACATTAACACTTGCAAAAAATCCACATATTTTCCGATTGTATGCAACATTTATTATCGTCAAATGCTATTTAACTGTATTGGTCAATACATTTTTTCCACGAAATTAAAGAACGCTTTATGCCATGTGATGGTTTGCAAATGTAAACTTTATACCTTGAACGTGTGTGCATGATCACCAATACCTCATGCTGTGTTGCATTTGCAGATGCGATTTGGATGACACTGCACAGTACAAAGCCTTCGCCATGAATGTTAATGGAGAAGCATCAACAATCGCTACGTTGGTCGTTAAAAGTGGGTATTCAATAGGGATCCACCACATTGATATTTTTTATCGTTATATAAATCATAGCGTGGCTGCTGCCGTATTTAAAGTTTGTACATTTGTGTTTTTCTCCAACCTCTTAGGATATCAAGGAGAAGCTGAACTTGCTCAGCCTGGATCTGTATGGCTCCCCATTCATAGTGAGAATTACACATCCTCATAATCATCGTCATCATCATTAGCAATGATCAGTCTATTTCTGGATTGAAGGCCTCTACAGTGTGTGTGCATTATTATTTGTGTGCATTATTCTCCAAACTGCCACCACCTCTCGGAATCCTGCAATGCGATAAGCCATCCAGCACCAGCAGAAAAACTCATGTCAGCACTCCATCTCCTCCGTGGGCGATCTCTCAGACACATTACACTCCTTGGCTGACACTACATTATAATCCTTAACCACTGGCCACCATCCTTCATAGCAACAAGTCTTGCGCATGCCTACTTACTTTTATTAATAGTTGTAATGTACCTGCTTATTTATTCTGTAGTACGTGTTCCTCTTTCTGCCTCTCGATGTAATCCCAAGTATGCATCTCCCCACGCTTTTTAGCATACTTTTTAGTGTTTACTCCTATATGTTTAATAAGTGACCATTTTCTGAACCATGTCATAGCAGGTAGTACATGCCGATTTAACATATTTTTGAGGTACTGTAAAGCCACTCGAGTCTAACAAGCAGGCCTTCACACAACAGAGGTGTAATGACCACCATCATTAAATTCAAGCAAGAAAATTACCATTGTTTTGTGTGCATGGGAATGTCCCATTTACCTGCTTAAAATGTGAATATCTTGTCCTGTTGAGCATTGGGGGAAGAGTAAAATATGATTTTGTGGCTCAATATGTACTGATATTTGGTCCATACATTGACACACGATGTTGTCTTCCTGTGAGCAAAGTCATCGAACATCTTTTTTCATTTAATTTGCATAAATTATCAAATGATATGATTGCTTATCATTATCATCCAATCAGCACACTGTCACGGGGGTGGCAGTGAGAATCTAAAAAGTACAGACTGCAAATACACAAAGAAACAAACACATTTAGGATGTACTACATTCCATGTAACATGGGCAAATGTACGTATCTATGTTCAACTTACTTGACACTGTACGTAACCAAGCATGGTAAACGGAGGAGCGGGGGAGTTTTCAATCTAGATTATTTAAATTGCATAGCTCCAGTGGCTTCCAAATATCGGAAGAAAGAGCGTTCTAGGCGACCGCATAAGCGCATGCGAAAGCGCCCAATTCAGTGGCCGTCTTTGTTCGATGGCCAGCCAATTACGTGTGTTTATAACTGAAAATAGTGAAAAGCCACATAACTGCCAACATCAAAATGTGTGTTTTTGTATTGCACACTCGAAATAAAGGACGTGGGCAGGTGCGCTAAATCGAGGGCAAACGTATTTATTGTGGTAAATCTGCAAAATGCAACAGCACGTGTGTCACACAGCAATTCTCAACCGAGTCGCCATTAACCACGTGACTGGTGTACAAGTCCGGTTAATCAATAGCCCTGCCAGCCACCCACAGGCCCAACTCAGTTATCGCATGCTGGTGTACACACGTGCATTGATGTACTGCACAGCACATAAGGACTTTCCCAAAACCACACTTTACTCCCTTGCTGCACGAGGAAATCATTAAAAAAGTGGTCCAATCCTAATGTGCCACATTTGTGCATTTTTTCTTTCTTTCAGTTCCGCCCCTTCTGCCCCTTCCCTACACCAAAGTCGACATCACAATCTTCGACAAGTTTGATGTCTCTTTTGGGCAAGAGGGTGAGGGAGTCACCCTGAGTTGCAAGGTGCTTCTGCATCCGAACCTCAAGCGCTTCCAGCCCGAAATGCAATGGTGGCGTGATGGTGAGCACACCAGGAGGACATTTCTCCTTTCCTCTATCCCCTTCCCCAACTCCCCACCATGAACATAACATCGCACCATACAGGTGGTCAACCCTGGCTTTTGTTAATACGCTTGTGAAAGGTGTGTGTAAATCTTCACGGCGATTGATGCATGGTAAAGATTTACACTTAACGGGGTTACGAAATTGTATGCCATAGCTAACAGATGGAGGCATAGATGGAAAAACACACAGCTGTGTGAATTGATGCAGCCAGATTAAAGATGAACACCACTTTATGTAGTCTTTGCCCTTGTTCATTTTTGAACAACCTGTTACCCTTTAATGCCGGGTCACGAGTCTAAGGCAATTGGCAAAAATTGTAGGTCTGAAAAAGCTAGGTTTCAGGTTAGTACCACATTGGTATTCATTCACGCGTCCACACAAAATGGTCACGAAAATTGAGGACAATAAGGATGATAGAACAAAATACAGTCCTTCTTTAATGCACAAATATGGCGCATGCCATGTTTATAAAGCTCTATGTAAACTAAGAGATAAAAGTGTTGTAAGAAATGAAAGCTATAAAATATTTGCGTCTCAAATGTTGACTGTTTGATATCGCAGTTTTATATGATTTAGATCATTACAAAGCAATCGATCTCAAATGATCCATACAACCTCATACAATGTATTCATTTTGATACAAAGGCAGGTGTGTTAAACTGAGGTGTATCCCCCCCCCCCTATGAATCTGGCATCCCAGCTTAATTTTTTCAGCCATGGCTAACATCACTGGCAAGTTATACTTGAAGTGGTGCTTGGCCTACACTGACACAGTGTTCGCAGACCTTCATCCAGAAGTGAATTGAAAAATGGCTGAAAATGATTTAAACACTTTCACTTTCAATTGTATACATTTCATTTTTAAGATAATGGGTAATTTTTTTTATGGAGGGCTTTTCCATGTTGGCTTCTGCATAGATTCTGCATTTTATTCTCATTGGACAGGGTGCATTGCATCCAGCGATATATTGCGTTTTGTGTCAACTAACCTCTTCATAGGTAAGGCTATGAAGAGGTTAGTTGATGGTCACGGGAATTGTGAAATGTAATGAAGTCGGTGAAAACTTGGAAATTACTGGAGATAGAACGATTAGGTGCTTCCATTCAAAAATTATGTAGCTCGTGTGCTGAGAATACAATTCCGTACATTCACAGCCCCACCTTATTCCCTGCTATTGCTATGAATTATCGGTCCCCCCCCCCCCCAAAAAAAAAAAAACTTTCAGCTTAAAAGCTTACAAAACATTACCATGACAAAAGTGTAGCCTTACTCATCAGCAAATGCTAAATCACTGACGATGTTGCCACTGGAGTTTCTGCCACATGGCGGCTAATACTCGGCCGCTTGAATCACGCAATCCAGCCTTGGAAGCATCTCGCTTTAGCTAGGAGTCGCGAAATTGGAAAACTATTGCAACTGTTCCAATACTGTTTGGCCAAGCATATGACTGCACACGTGCATCAGTAATTGCTTGACATCAAGACACTCAACAGAGAGCTACTAGTTAAAAGAAAAATCCTATATACTCAATCTGTAATGCATCGCTGAACTAACACCCAATTCTGCCTCTCCCAAAAAAAATATCTTGTGCAAAACAGGACTCTTATCAGGCAGACTTCTGTGGACTGATTTAACATTTAATGTAATGAGGGCGAATGCTTGCCTCGGTGAGCACACCACGGGTCCGATACGGGAATAGTGAAGAGATGCGCGATCGAAAAATGTGGGGTTGCTCAGGACATTCTCAAATCACACTTGGGTGATTAGATCGGCAGAGAGACGCACCGTGAGGGGGTAAATAACCTATAAAGGGTAACGCAGTCTCAAATGTGAGTGCACATGGACTTCATGCATTTCTGGGTGAGTTGAAGAACCTTCCGTCACTTCAACTGGCGCATACATCTTTGTAACAATCCTAAACGGTCCAGCACACTTAAATGCAATTGTACGTTCATTGAAATAACAACCTAATACCTTGGTATGGGGTCTTTTAACCTAGATTACGCAAAAACTATGTTGTTTTATGGAATGCGGTGCACACGCACGTTATTCCATGTATGTATGTTGAACTTATTTTGCACAATATGTAGCCAAACATGCTAATCGCAATGTACAAGAAAAAATCCTCACACAGATATCACCTCCAAAAAATACGTATCTCCAAAAGTATTCGTTTAATTTAACATGTAAGTTATCACAGACAACATTCTATTTCTGATATTTTTATATATATATTTGAAACCTATAAAATGTTATTGTATTACATTTTACGTGTAGGCACAGGGATAGGTTTTGCATCGTGGGTGCTGAGTAGAATATGACTTGGTACTTCACTTGTTTTAGAACACATACAATTATTGTGGTAGAGAACATGTGTAAAATCCCTTTTCAAACTCATATAGCAAGGGATTTCCACGTCAATTTGTCATGCACCCACTGCACTGCAATACGCACAATAATTGACAGTCTCTTTCGATCCCACTTAGTATCTTGACATCAATTAGGCAGCCTGCTAGGAGCTGTCCACTGAATCAGATTTCTTTGGATATGCCCTGCATTCACACCCAAGCTCCAATTAGCACGGTTGGCTACGCACGGTGCAAAAAAAGTTAAACAGACATGCACGCTTGTTTTAACAGTTTCGGCAAACTACTTCACATAACGCAAACAGTTAAATAAATAGAAAAAATTCCATGGCGTAGTCAGCTAAGCTGTGCTAGCCAAACAGTATGAGAAGAGTGCACACCCTTGTCCACATTGGAGCAACAGTCAAATAATGTATTGATCTGTGTAACGAGCAGCCCTCATTCCTCAGGCAGACGCTTAACTGCAGAACATGAATCAATTGGGGTAGTGTTTGCTATCTTCACAGTGGGGCATCTGTTTGTTCGCATGTTAACACAATGTAAGTCAGGGGTCTTTAACCCAGACCAACGGTGCTGTTCGCCTACCTAGGAGAAGTCCAAGTTGTTGCGTCTGTGTGCGTCCTGCAATGCAGCAGCAGCTGTTGCGTTGATTGAACACTACCCCGTCGCCAGTGCTATGCCATTATTGCGAGCTGTTCTGGATGCCGCTGTTGTGTTTTCTACTGAGCGTCTACATCCGAACGGTTGCTCACCACAGCGTGAGCAGAATGAGGCCCTGTGAAAGGTCCAAGGCTTGCGTGGGTACGAGGTGGATTGTTCGCTTCGTGAGATTATAAGAGATGACAGCCACTTGGGCAGGCCTTCGCGCAGGAGTGGATTGACCATGGCTGATTATGATGAAAATTAGATCTCCCTGATTCTCGATATTTATTTCAAATTTCAAACTAAACTGTCCACGTGTACTGTGTTTTACATATAGGTGGCAAAGATATGGTATACGCAGCATATATAACTCATCAAATTAGTATTTAAAATGTGAGTTTCATGGTGGCAGATGCACATTCTGCTTCTTAACAGCGCAGACATTGCTTGTCTCAATGAGGCGACATTTAGCTTCAATTTATCGACCCATTCTGTGAATACAACTAGGCCAAGGGCCTGTGCACTGATATTCAATATAACTGTCTGGTCACATTACATCTGTAATCATTTAAAGTTTATTTACACGTATATCCAGTATGCCTTTGCTGCAAATGCCACAATTCAGTGCATTAAAAATTAAAACAAATCTACCCTCAAAACCACCCTGCTTATTTTCGTTTTACCTTTTTCTAAACAAAGCTCTAGACATTTCACCATGTCATGCCATTTCAAATAATTGTGATCTTCAAGGTCACTTAAATGCTAATGTCCATTAGTTTGGCTCAGAGACAAAATCCATCCATCTTTGACTACTTTTCACGAGAGCTCGATCACACTCTCCCAAGTGGGTATACAGCAATGCAGGTTCGTTCACACAAACTAAAGTTGCCTAAAAACATTGTTAGGCATTTTTATATCCGAGGGTCTTTTGGGGATTCTGGATACACCAGAGTAACCAGCACAACTTTCATCAGTTATTATATTGGTACAACGATCCTATGCGCTATTTACTCTAGTTCTTACCAAGTACGGCTTTATGAGTGGATTTTCTGTATGTGGACATGTTCCCTTGGTATCATACTAAAGCAGACTGGACTTGCCATCCAGGGGTCACTGGCTTGTTTCGATCTCCCTGGCACAGCATGGGTACACCACAGATTCATCGATCGGTCACGTGCAGTGGGGTAACATGTAGGTATGCCACCTCTTCCAAGAGGTCTGGCCAGTATGGAAGAGAAGGTCTAAATGCCCTCTAGAAAGGTTTTCTAGAGCTCCCTCTCATGGAGGCTCGTCCGCCTGTAGTGACGTGAGCAATTGCTTACAGAGATGCACCATTATCTGATATACAGTATTTAATTCTACGTTGCTTTACGCGACTCTCAAGTTTGTTATATGCTGAACAAGTCAACATCATGTTTCGATTTAAAGCTTTCGTGACTGCAGGGATTCATCTTCTTGGTTCTTTCGGTAAAGTCACGTAGAAGGGAAGTAATAAAATAATAAAAATAAAACATAATAAAATCATTCTCACGACGTTTCGGCCTTTTGTTAATGCTACCCCCTACCCCCTCCCTTTGATGCTGCTAATCCTGCATAATGCATGGGCATAATATGACTTTGAAACCCCCCCGCCCACCTCCTACGCATTTCCCATAAATATGCTAAATTCCTCTTGATATGCAAATTATTTTGTCAAGGCGCTCTTCTTCCATATACGCTCCAAGCTTGGCAGTGTTTCATTCTTCACTTGAAGACGGCTGCTTGCGTTGTGGCCCAAACGTCGTGAGAATTATTTTATTATGTTTTATTTTTATTATTTTATTACTTCACTTCTACGTGACTTTACCGAAGGCACCAAGAAGATCAACGTCATGTGTTTGTGATTTTTGCCAATATCACAGGCTAATATACATGCAGCCAAGCACCATTATTTGATGGATTACAAGAACAAATAGGAGTTCTCAACAAATATTGTTATCCTTCAACTCTTTGTAAATAAATATCTATATTGTAATTGAGCTAACGTAACTATTTATATATAATGCAAGAGTAATTTGGATATCACTGCATGAGTAAACATATTTCACATTGCATTCACGTATGTTGAACTTCTTTCGCACCGTACGTAGCTAACCGTACTAATTGGCGGTGCGGGGGAAGGACAACAAAATAAACACTAAAAGCAGTTATAAACACAAAAATGAATTATGTATGCTCGTTCCTATTTAACGAAAATGTGTTTTGAACAAAGATTAGAAATTATTAAAAAGCGACAGACCAATGCACTTTTTTTCTTGAAAAATATACCTTTGACAACAACGACATGATAGCATTGTTTGATGAGTATTAATCTCATTTTAGACAATTTTCTATTCATATTTACATTGGTGTATTTCTGGTACAGATCTGTTTCTATGAGAATAGTATTTGTAAGCTTTTCAAGTGACATACTGGTAAATTGTGCATTTCCAATGCATGAATCAATTAAAAGTAGTTTTTTTATGTGATGACTTCAATTGTGATTACTGACACATTACGTTTTGTTGAACAGAATGCTTGGTACTGGTAATTAATTTGATGGATCTACATTAGTTGAGCTCATGTATTATTATGCTTGAGGACGAGTCCTAATTATTGTGAAGTACTACTTTCGGTTTTCCAGGGTTTGTCTCATGATGTGATTAGGATGTGGTGCACATAATGACAATCTACCATACCCATATCTACAGGTTAGGTTTTGTTTCTTGGCATTACATATATATGTGTAAACACACATAATGCAAAGACAAAAAACATAAACGTCATAGCATACGGACACTTATACATACCCAGATTGCTCCGAGTTAAAAACAATCCACGTGGTCAAAAGGTTGCTTGGCACGAAGGGTGCAATTATCGACAGTGACATGCCTGGATAGGATTCATTTTTTTAATTGCACCATAACAATTGTGATGCGCAGCAAACGCGGTGAAAATCCATTTTAATAATTACAGAGGCTATCATTTGTGGAATGTGTAGTGACACTGAGAATGTGAAATAAAAGTTCTGGTATAGAACGATTGTATTACACACATGGCAAACTGCATGATGGATCACGCGTTATTCGCTCTCTAATTGCATATTGCATACTGGAGCTTACCTGTCACCACCTCCATACTATTCGTCTCTAATTTTGTAGTGAGCTCATTTAAATAACTGTCCTAATAATGTAATTGCAATTATGACAGTAGTCATGAGAATGATGAAGTCCTCTGCTCATGAGTCGTAACAATGATGAAACCAGTATACAATTATTATTCTTAGGGTCTTTCAGTGAAGCCACGTAGATAGAAGAAAAATAATAATAAAAAATATCACGACGTTTCGATCGCAGCACAAGCAGGCGGGAGAGCTACTGAGGCAGGAAAAAATTAAAAGAGCGTGAAAGCTGCTAAGGCAGGATGTTATAAAGCAGTGGCGGCTCCTGCAAAATCTCTCAGGGGGGGCAAATGTCTGGATGATTGATAAGGATAAGGTCCACCCATGCAATGGATAAATTAACAGCTTAAGCATGTAAAGGCAACTTCACTTCTTTAATATTAATGAAAAATAAAGTGACTCTTACAATACATCTTGTTTGTTTCTATATTCACTATTATTACAATCCACTCAGTTTCTTTTATTAAAGATTCCACTAGGTGGCGACAAATAATATTGTTGACTGAAACGTGCTTACGTATGATGACGTAAGCACGTTAGTGCGAGCCCTCCCGGAAGCCATAGAGAATGCATTGCAGCGCCCGCCGTTTGAAAAAAAAAAACATCTTTGAATGTAAGTCTATGGGAACACTCTGGGCGATTCTCAGCCGGAGTGAAATCGCCCAAAAAGAGGCGGTACTCCACAGAACGTGACATGACGCTGATTGGACTATATCCAGAGGCACAGTAACGGCTCGCGTAACTCTGTGGTTGAATGAGATTTGTAATGCGTCGCCCAATCGCCCTAATGAAGAAACTGCCCCTGTTATAAAGGTTTGAGATCGGGTGTAGCCAAAGGGTCATAAGCGAAGTAGGCGGGGCTAGAGATTAAATTTGCATGTCAATGTAGGATCAGAGAGCTGAGCTACCTCCACGACGACACAGCTGTGAAAGTGGCCATTGTATTGTGATCCATTAGCATGTTAATGTAAGAAAAACTAAAACCACCGCCACATCGAGGAAAACGAGCAACGGTGGCTGTGTTAGTGAGACATTTAGCCTGTTAATGTAAAGACATTTAACCTGGTAGATTAGCATGTCAATGTGAGAAAAACGAGAGCCACCGCCACATCGAGAATAACGAGCAACGGTGGATGTATTAGTGAGACATTTAGCCTGTTAATTTTAAGACATTTAACCTGGTAATGTAACTCAGAGAGTCGAAAATAACTGTTAACATCAGCAGGTAGGATGGAAACATCACAGCCAGTTATGACTTAAACTGGTTAATAACGTCCTTCCAATGATTGCACAGTTTGTACCCATCTTCTCGGTTGAAATTGTGTCTGTGTTTATATATCTGGATAGCTTCATGAACGAATCTTTGCTGATAGCCAGTGGGTTTGCAGAGTACCTTCATCTTGGAAAAATCTATTTCATGTGTGCCCACAGCGTTAAAACAATGATCAGACACGGCTGAGCTATTGGTTCTACCGTGTTTCAGATCTGTCTTACGTTCACGAACACGGTCCGAGACATGTCACTTATGATAATTGGTTCTTTACCCTTCTATCTGGCAACAAAACTGACACCTTTTTTGCAAGGAGTCATGGTTGCATAGACCGCAATACCTGCAGTCATAATACAAACAAAAGAACATAACTCTGATAATGTGCACTGTCCTTGAAGTTGATTGGTCCACACCCGAGACAGCTTTCCTTCGAGCCTAGTCTCATATGGGTTGGACCAGATGACGCCAAAAGGCGCACAACTCAAAGACAATGGCACCATCAGAGAATCGCATTGCAGCGATTTCCGATCTTGCCACGTCTGCAGGAATGTGTCCCAAACCCTTATAGGCTACGTCAACCTGGGCAATGATATAATCAACTGGGATGTGTTTAGGGATGACTGCGAAATTCAACCGTTTACCTTAAACCGATTTTAGGTTGTCGGAAATCGGGCTGTTGTCACCGTCTAACTTTTGAATGTGTGGATCTGGCTTCTTCTTGGAAAGAAGGTTGAACTTGGAAATTAGGTTATCTTTGCATTTAGCTGACGTTGAGGTGGCTGAAGAGACTGTCATTTTATCTAAATGGTCCCAATCAGATGTATACATTTTTTCTGTTAATGTTAAGTGTGATTGCAAGAGAGTCTTGTCTAAATTGTCTAGTTCAAATCGGATCAATCTTATTCTCTCTGGGATTAGGGCTAGGCCGGCCCTGAACAAGATCCGTTTAGCATTAAGAGAAGTGACAGCAGCAGATGTCAGTGGAAAGGCGATCGGTATTACCTTAGTGTCTTGGCATCTCTTCAGAAATGTGATCGACTCGATCAGATGAGCCTTATTGTCTCGAAGTTTGTTAAAATATCAAATAGTTACGTGGAAAACATCCCCGTAGAGGCGGATAAATCCTGACTTAAAGCCTTCGTGACTGCAGGATTTCATATTCTTTGGGTCTTTGGTCAAGCCACTTAGAAAAAAAAAATCACGACGTTTCGATCGCAACACAAGCAATCGTCATCAGGTGAAAAAATATCGCAGGAGAGCTACTGAGGCAGGACAAAATATAGCAGGAGAGCTGCTGAGGCAGGACAAAATATAGCAGGAGAGCTGCTGAGGCAGGATGTTATAAAGGTTTGAGATGGGTGTCGCCCAAGGGTCGTAAGTGAAGTGGGCGGGGCTTGAGATGAAATTTGTATTGTGCGGTTTGCTGCTGAAGGGACATACCTGTGTATATATATTAACCTTCACAATTATTTATTTATAGAGTAATTTTTTTTCACGGAGTACGTGCAAATGAGAGGCATACTTACTGTGCAGATAAATAAGTGGCCTTGGGCAGAACACATCGCAAGAATGGATGGTCCAGGAAGAGAAAGTGGCGACAGAATGGCATCAGAGAATGTACCACCGTAAAGATGGAGTGATAGCATCAATCCGTTTCCAGGAGTGAGATGTATTGTGGCATTGGAGGACCATAAAGGATGGCAACATTATGGGATTCAACAGTGGATATGCAATGGCTGATGATGGTGATACATTTTGTTCAATGATGTATTATGCAATTCGGATTAAAGTTCTGATTTGTATTATTGCATCATATCTTTCAACGTGGCATATTGATAATTCTAAATTATTGCACGTTGAATGCCAAATATAGCACTGAATGAGAAAAGTTCGCAATTATTCCCCAGTGCAAAAAAATAATACAGCTCTGCAGTGAACAATAAAACAAATAATGTCGGAAGAACAATAACGTATCATGGAATGCTTTTCAAAAAATACTGTCTTTGTATGTGTGCGTACAAGCGTGTTTATGTGATATTGAGGCTATGCAGGGGATCTTTGTCTTTGTGCGCACACGTGTGTGTGTGAGCAGTAGTGCAGGCGTGGTTCTGGCCACCCACACCCCGTGGTATACCGTGCCGGCCTTTATAGGTGCCACTCATCAAATCGCTTGTTTTAACAGTCTGTTTACAGGTTACACGGGGGGGAGGGGGATCTTTGTCCTCCGTTCTCCTGTGTTGCTTCCTGTGCTGAATGCAGAGGCCCGCGTGGTGGACTCCCAGTGGGCGCAGACGTACTGGAGCGGAGAGAAGGCCACCCTGAGTCTGCCACACCTCCACAAGGACGACGAGGGCCTCTACACCTTGCGCGTCGTCTCTCGCGGATGCTCCCAGCAGCACAGCAGCTACCTCTTTGTGCGAGGTGATGGAACCCCCCCCCCCCCCCCACCGACTGCAGCAATCGGCATTGTCAAGAGCCTGGCTTGAACAGCGGTGTGGTGACTTAAATTATTAGCTCAGTTGGGGACGAGGGACGCGGTTGCGGCAATATGTTAGGTGGGGCCCCCGATATTTGATTTGTCTTACTGCTCTCATGAAATGAAAGTAAAATGTGGAATGTAAATGAAAGCATTTCCATAAAAACTGAAACAAATTTAAACCGTCTTTTAAATACCTGTCTGTAATTTTACACTGTTGTTGAAAACATAGTGGTTGTCAAGGGAGCCCCAACTCGTAGCTTTGGCCACCAGTGGTGGCAGGACACCTCCTGCCCCCAAGCTCGTTATTCTACTGCCCTTGAATTTTAGACACCTTGTACACTAACCCCACGACTTCCAGCCCTTGGAGCGTGACCCAAGGGATGCCATTCAAAACCCAGGAAGCAAGGGCAACAGAATGAGTAACACTATTATTTAACGTGGTGGCAAATATTGTCGTCATTATCATCAGACACGATCAATCCACTGATAGATGAAAGCACCCTCCAGGTCACCACCACCTCTCACAATCCTGCGACTCCAACATTGGCTAAAACTCTCTGGCTGGATAACCTGGTTAGAGTCCTGTCTGTGATAGAGAATGGAGGGTGAGGGAGAGAGATCAAGGAGAGAGGAGAGGGACAGAGGAGGGAGGAAGAGATGGACAAGTGCGGCGAGAGAGTGAAAGGGCATGAAACAGAGAGGAAAGCAAGATAGCAAAACAGAAAGAGGACAGTGATAGATGAGGGAGCGGCAAGAGAGATCGAGAGGGGAAAGTGAAACGTGAGAATAAGGAGAGTGAGGGTGAGAGTAACGGGAGAGAGATAGGAGGTGGGAAGTGGGTGAGATATAGTGGAGGTAGGAGACAGAAAGGGTCGTAGTTCGGGTGTGTCGGTCATCGCCATGAGTTGACCACACTTCACCAAGCTGGTCAGTGCGAGTTTTTGAAGGGAACGAAATTCATCTCGGCTATCTCGGAGTACCTGAGGGGTATGGGGTTCCCCTATCCACCACAGTGACTCAGGCCTACAAGGCTCCCAGGCCTCCTTACCCCAACAAGGCATTGCACCGTCAAGAAGGATACATATCGTAACTTTATTTTTTTACTTCACTATGAGAATGTATGTGGTACTGATCCTTTGGCAGAGGGTACCGAATCCCTTCCATTTCCACCAATGCTATGAGTCTGCTTCCCATCACCTCACAAAGGTCCACATGCTAGACATGGAATTTTTGTTCTGCTGTCGCGTTTATTGATTCGCCTCATTGTTTTGTCTTGTCAGTTTTGATTTATAATGGCCTCAAGGACTGCGCCATTTGTTTGATTTCTATTAATTCCCCAAAATAAAGCGCCTCTGCGTTCAGCACCATCTGTGCTGTCAGTCAAACTTTCACCACGTTTATGATCATTATCGTCATTATTAACAGTATGCATTTTTTTAAATTTTACAATGAATTAATAATTGACAACTGTAAATTAATCATTGACAACTCACAATCATTGACATCTCACCTAGGACTATTAAGCATGGTAAATGAAAATAAGGACAATTTTCAACTAAAGTTGGCTAGCACATTGGGTCCAGATGACTGCCTTTTCGTGATGGGCCTTGGATTACGACCAAAAACACCAGCTGGCTGATTTGCCACAGGCTGCATGCACTAACAAAGCTCCACTTAAGCAAATGGATGAGACACAACAATGGTGTTAACCCAAGTAAGTCTTGAGCATGTGGCTTTTCAGGCTTGAGTAGCCTGACATGTGCAAGTGGGAGGTGGGGAGTCGGGGGAGGGCATGCATGTCGTACCCTGAGTCAAACCCGCTTCAAATGTAAACTCCAAAAGTAGTTTGCAAACGCGTGTGTGCATCAGTACTTTCGCCCAAGCAAACAGATAGGTGTGCTAAAAAAGCATACAAGGCTACCAGGGTGTTCACCCCACCCGTCTTCTCCAAATAATGCCTCCAATGTATAGTACAATTTAAGGATGAATGATAGCCACTTCAAAGTACAATGTCTCTGACTTGTTTTACGAAAGAAATGCTTGGATTGTGTTGAGTAATCTGTCGGCGAAGAGTGTCACAGTGTGTATAAATACTCTTTGGTTCTATCGGTAAAGTGACGTAGGTAGAAAAATAAAATGAAAATAATGTATCACGACGTTTCGATCGCAACACAAGCGGGAAAAAAAACCCGGCAGTGGAACTGCTGAGCCTGTGTATAGAGATGTATAGTTTGCATTTAAAGAAATACCTTTCAAATGTATCATCATATTCAGACCAAACGTGGAGGAAAGTTCAGACTCAGATTTTGTCAAGGAAAGCATTTGAGCCGATGCTGCTGAAAGAATGAAAACGTTGCTTTAATCATCCTCCTCTGTAAACCCAGCAATTTAAATAGGTGCACTGCAATTGGTCATTCGGCAGGTTGCGTGTGTTGTGATAAAATGCGGGCACTCTGATCTCTTCTCAGGACTCTGGCCAGTGTGGAAGAGTAGGCCAAACACCCTCGGAAGATTCCCACTGTAGTTCCCTCTTTGTTGTGATGCTCTTCTGCCAGCAGCGGTGTGAGCAAGCGATTGCAGGGTTTCACCTCACGTCAAATTAAACTTGCTGGGCACACTCCCATCCCCCCCTTTGTGCAGATGGAAAGGCTGAGGTGGCCGGTGCCCCAGCTGCCGCCCTGGATGTCGAGTGTCAAGAATCAAACCGCAACTATGTCCTTCTCTCATGGAAGCCACCCAGTGCAGAGGGTGGCAGTCATGTGGTCGGTTACTACATTGAGAGGTAAGAGAAAAGGCAACACTGTGTCCTCTGTCATGTGTTTGAGAACATTTTACGTGATAACAAATAATAAGAACAGGTTGAACACGTAGGCTTTCGTGACCAATATTATCCACAATAAAAGTGTTTTTGGGTTAGATCACGTGAATATGAATGTGTCGTTAAACCCGCTACCACCCGACACAGCCAATGTATAAGCTTGAAGCTGGTTGTAATTACCAGCGCGAAACGTCATAAAGCAACACAGGTGTGGTTTACTCTCCAACACACCTCTGCGCTCAAGTAATAACCAATAGGCAGATTTTGTTTCAGTGACAAAGCTTACTAATTGGCTGTGTTGGGTGGTCGCGGGTTTAACAACACATTTACTAACCCAAAAAACCTTGACTGTGGGAAATAAGAATAGACTTTACCGTTTCTCGCAATAAAATAGGTGTTAAGATGTTCAAACACCAAATTTATACCTATTACAAGGCATCAAGTCTGCAGTAACCACACATACTTGTGGCAAAAAATGCAAACAAACATTCCCTGATAAAAAAAAATTGTCTTTGAAACTGATTGTCCTACACCAGATGCAGACTTTTTATGGCCTTGTTTCGCCAGTGTTTGACCAGAGAACGCCCAAAAAGGCGAACGGTGCAAAGGCAATGCAAGTATCAAAGTATTCATAGCTCGGGTTGAGCAGTTATATCTATGTGTCCTTTTTGGCAATGTCAATTTTTTTTTTTGGCAATGTCAATCTTTGATCTGAGATTTCTTCTCAGCCCACACATTTTAAGTTATGGTCCACATTGAGATTGCACCGCGACCAGTTTATATATTTACATATTACGTGTTATTTCAATAATTATTGATGACATATCCCACACAGCTACGTACGGTGCGACATGAGTTCAACACACATACACAATGAGAACTGTTGAGAAAGGAGGGCTTGGGCAAAACACGTTACTCGAAAAAACTGTGGCAGATGGGCAGTATAAATGACAGGGTGGCAACCAAAGCACGGAGCACCCCTGAGAGGACGTCAACCGGGGAGATAAAGTGATGAAATAAATTTGTATGTGGGTGTGTTAGGGGGATTATCAAATGACTGAATCGTGAGAGATGGCCACGTCTTAGGGAAGCCAGCAGTGGATTGACCAAGGGCTTCCGATGATGAACAATTATGTTTTTAGCAACAAAATACAATCGCTACTCTTAATCAAAGCTTGCCTCTTTTCACGTATAAATTCCACGTGTCCAATTGTGTTAAGTCAATGTTACAAGTAACACAGGCTCAGATTCTTTCAACTCCAATTTAACTTGTTTGTGTTTTTGTACTTACAATGCAAATTATTTTTTAAACAGAATTCCACTCACAAATTATAAAACGAGTGAAATTAATTTTAACGTATGCTGTTAATCTTTACTAAACGGTAGTCGTGTTTTTTTCGCTCCATTTTTTCATCATCCATCCAATGGCATGACAGTCCACAAGCGTCTGGCAGCAGTCCTGCACTTTTGGCGATCACCATCAGATAGCATCTGCGCCGATCTATGCCATTCCTCTCTGTTCTCGTTTCTCTTCAACTGGACGAGTTATATTGTTTCTCTGTCATCCTCTACGTCTGCCCCCCTCATCTGGCATTGCCATTGCATTTGCTGTGTTCCTGTTTACGTGGAATTCTTCTGACATGGCCATGCCATCTCAGTTTGCATTGCTCGATTTGTTTTTTGTACAGTATCGTTATTATTGTTAATCACAATGATTGATGTCTACTATTACACAGAAAAAAATGTAGATAAAAGCAACTAGTTTAATGGGGGAAAACTATTTTAAACTACGAACAAAACTATTTCTATTTTACCAGATAAGATCCACTGAGCTATATAGCTCACAAATGATAACTCAACGATGTGGCTTATCACGTGGAAATGTATAGCAGCCAAATCCTGTAAACGCATGTTAATGAATTTGGAGGGAAAAAATCAAAGGACCTGGAGAAAAATCCACGCGACCACGGGGAGAGAGCAGTGCCAGATTATCCTAGTAGCAAAAGTAGCATATGCTACGTGCCCCGCACTTTTAAGGGCCCCGCGCTAAATGCTTTCAAGCTATCAATTCCGGTTTAGTGATTCTGCACTTGCTCTATTACTATAATACTCTACTGCCTTCGACTTTCATGAACGACTGGGTGTTTAGGGTTAGCGATTTGGCGTATTATCTGGCTGCATAGCAAATTAAAAAATACAATTACTTTACTATGCAAGTAAAAAAATGCGTGTTTTAATATTTGTTTTTTAGGGCCCTTTTGTAACATATGCTACAGGCCCTGCACTAGCTTAATCCGGCACTGGGAGCGAGAGCATGCAAACTGCAACAGGCGTCAGGGTCGGGATCGAACTCACGACCTCCATGTATACCAGACGAGCTAGTTGACATCTCGCCCTTCTGTGCTACCCACAGGTGTGAGGTGGGCACCAAGAACTGGGTGAAATGTAACGACGCGCCCGTCCGCTTCACGCGCCACCCCGTCGTGACGGGCCTCACCGAGGGGAAGTCGTACCAGTACCGTGTGCGTGCCGTCAACAAGGCGGGCATGGGCGCCCCTTCACGTCCCACCGAGCCCATCCCCGCTGTCGACCCCGCCGACCTAGGTCAGACCCAGCGTCGCCCGCGTGCCGATGTCAAATCGTGCACGGCGCTCGTAGGCTCCAAAGGGGATCGATGTAAACAGGCATGATCCTCTAACTTGTTTTGTCACTGCCGTCCCCCCCTGCCACCCCCCCCCCCCAAGTTAGAATTCCAATTGTGAGTGAAATGTCTATTTTAGACTACCACTTGACAGATCATTTCCCGTGGAAAAGTTGTTTAAATAACGTTGTATCCACGCTCGGTGTTTTGCGACAGACAGATTTGCGGAGAAATCCTCCTGTTTCGTTCGTAAATAGAGGGATAGATGTGATGTCGTCACTTGTGAGACCATCACGTGCGAAGGCCGGGGGGTGTGGGGGGGTGTTAATGAATGCATATAAATTACAATAGGTATTCATTACCGGTTGGGTCATTGATACTAATTGTAATTATTGGCGGAACGTCGTAGTCAGATTGTAAATATTGTGGATTTACTCTCCAACACACTGGTGTGCTGTGCTAGTAACGAATTAGCATGTTCTGTTTATGTGACAAACCTTGCTTATTGGCTGTGTCGGGTGGTGGCGAGTTTAACGACACATTCATATTCACGTGAAAGGCTACGTGTTAAATTAACACATTATTTACTAAATAATTTACATAAATTGTAAAAGTAGAGTTCTGGTTCAAAATTTGATACATGTATGGTGAGCCTAATAATCAAGTTTAATCAATGAATTAATGTATCATTACATACTTACCATAAACCCAACGTCTGCATTAAGAAACAGGCTCTAGTGCACTTATGTTGTGCATCTAATTGCAAAAGCACAGATATATATATGACAATCATTAACGGAGTTAAGCAAGAGTAACTGTGCACCCGTTAACTAGACACGAGTGATTCTGTGTCATATTGGCTTGGTTAGGTCCATGAGGTAATGCTCCATGACAGGGCACTGTGCCCATGTGCGAGATCTGGCGATTGAACTGAGGGAAGGAAAGAGTGAAAAATGAGCAGTCCCTCTCCGGCGCGGAGAGGATCGCTTGTGCAATGTGTTTGATGGCCTCAGCTGTCAGCCCGGTCAACGATGGCTGCAGACAAGCGGAATTCCCTTGTGATTGTAAAGAACAAAACGGGTAATATGAGAGCTGGTGCAATGGAGTCAGCCATGAAAAAAGCCTGGGCCAAGGTCAGTTGATGATGTGTCCAGAGGAACATGGAAATTTTTTGTTCTTCATAGTTATCTGGCTGACAAATTTTCATATACCTGTGATGGATAGCACCACTTAAAATAAAGTATCATGGGGAAGCTTTGTTTAATTAATTACAGTCCACATACGAATTTAGGATGCCACACCTGGTATACAGGAGGTTGTTGGGTTCGATCCCGACCCTGACGCCTGTATATTTGGGGTTTGCATGTTTCTCTCTCCGTGGTCAAGTGATCCTTATGGCGGTACCCCAGGGTACCAAATAACCACAAAATGGCCGATGCAATTACATATTTTATTTCTGGGACACTATTTTTACCAGGGGTTTATTTAACTCCGTGACTGGGGTACCAATCGATCCGAAATCAGTGCTACTCCACGATGTCGAAACTCAGCGAGGACGATTGCGCTGAAACCCTGAACGCTCGCGTACGCACTGTGGTGGTGCATCGTGTACAGCTCGTCGAGATGAGTCGATTGCCGCATCGCCGACCATCAACAGGCTAAAAGTGACTGCATCACGGACATTATGCGAGAGCTGGGGTACTATGGTACCCCGGGATACCGCCATGAGGTTCAAGTGGATTTTTCTTCGGGTCCTCCGGTTTGTCCTTCCACATTGAGAATCAATATGCATTCAGACGATTTGGCTGCAATACATTTCCACGTGATAAGCCACTTTGTTGAGCCATCATTTGTGGCCAGGTCGCTTTGGAAGAAGTGCGATATGGCTCAGTGAGCAATACCTGGTAAAATAAAAAAATAAGTTTAGTTTTTAGTTTTAGTTCAGAATTGAAAAATTGTCGCAATGAGGCTTACATCCTTAGATGTTGTGCAAGGAGGCTGTGTGTAACATTGGGTGAAGGGACAGGGTGGAAGGGTAATGTGTGATAATGATCGACGTGCTTAATTGGAATAATACACGTTCAATCGCGTTGCTTTTCTTCTTCGTCTAGAATTTGTCAGCGCATCTTTAAAAAAAGTACAAGTTACGACCACATTGTGCAATTGATCTATTTGCTTCATTGAAATGTATCGCAATGTGTCCGGGTAAATGCACGTGTTAATTCTCAATTTGCATCCATATTGTGTGAATCCAAACACAAGAGGTGAGCTTGATTTAATAATCAAAAGATGCCTGAGGCTTTGTTTTATTTAAAACATACCAGAATGCGCTCCTTGAGTCGATCAGTCACAGCTAAAACAGAATACACTTGTGTGGCTTGACCTATGCTGCTCACCGATTATCATTGCTTAACGTTAAGTATGACCACTGTTGTCCTTGTTTCACAGGACCTTGTTGAAAAGCGTTTTAAAGCAAACCCACGTCCCACAACGAAACCCTAATGTTTATCCATGGTCCTAAGCTGTTCCCACTGGTAGTGGCGAGATGTTATCTCCCTCGTCTGGTATGCAGGAGGTCGTTTAGAGTATTTGGCTGCTCTAAATTTCCACATAAGCCACCTCGTTGAGCCATCATTTGTGGCCAGGTCGCTTCTGAACATAGATGGACCAACTGCAAAATCGCTGTCCGTGGTGCTGACGTTAAGAAAAAAACACCACTTTTTTCAAATTTTCTTGCTGTGGATTTCACACCTGATTAAGATTGCTTGTGTTGCAGTCGAAACGTCGTGAGAATATAATTGTTTAATATTTTTATTATTTCTCTTCTACGTGACTTTACCGAAAGAACCAATAATATAGTTCAGTTTTAGTTTAAGCTTGTATTTCTTACCAGTAACAATATCCCACTTAGATACAGCCCACTGCTACGTATAACATACATCCTGGTTTCCCATAATATATTGTGATTTGCTATACAAAGTTGTGCAACTCTGAATTAAAATACTGATGATTAATTGAAATGTTTGGAAATATTGCACTATATGTTGGATAATGGACCATGACACTTTTCGTACAAATTGAAAGCAATGCTTCTTATGTTTATTTTCTTTTTGAAAATTATAACAAATCCACAATAATACGGGAGAAGAAATACAGCAAAGGAATTCCACGAGCTTGTGAAATTAGATTGTATTTTCATATTTAGCACTTAATTAGGTTTGTAATTAACATGTTATTGACTGATGAGCAGATCAAATCATTGGTAATTATGCGCACTGGAATCTTTCTATAATTATCACATAAATGTAGGAGTTTTTTTAATGGCCCATAAACATTTAACCAGCAGTTCCCAGTTTTATTTGGGTGAGCTAAGAGCTCCATTAAAAATAAATAAATAAATCTTCAAAAAAAAAAACATTTCCTAACCCGACAATAGCGTTAAGAAAATCATGTCTTTAGTGTAGGCAAATTGCTTGGTATCTTCTTCAAGGTAATTGAGTGTATGAGTCATTTGAATTCCATTGCACAGTTTTAGATGTAGCAAATTTAATATTCTAAATGTTTTAAATGAGCACTGTAATACCTCACAGAAGTTATTCTGTTCTTGCATTAATTCTCGCAACTTTTTTATTTAGTGGTGTAATTTAATTATCTGTGATAAAGGTGTGGGCTATATTAAAGTTCTAATTCTTTACCTTGGATTGAACATTTTCATACTGTTGTCACAAAAAGACCAAATGCTCACAGATATCATGTTTCATTGCTGTGACAGACTATTAGGAGGTAATTTCCACTCGTGCTTTCTTTACAGCAAATGAAAAATGTATATGTAAGTTATATATGTATGTTGAACTTCTTTCACACCGTATAGAATTCATGCTCAGCGGTAGAGTGAGGGCCTCTCAGTTGGAAGGTTTCCAGTTAAAACCCTGATTGGAGACTTACCTTATCCATCATCCCTAAGAGTTACACCTTTTTGGGAATTGAATAGCAATTTTCCTCCCAAAAAAATCACCCCTGCCATAGGAACGTGGAATTTCCACCGCTGCCTCACGGCTGCAAATGAGATGTGAGCACTACCATAATGCTCATTTGAGTATAAAATCACGAACGTAATATTCTGCATATATTAATAATACATTATTTGTAAACAACAACAAACATTTTCTCTCCTAACATATTTTTTTATTATAGCCTTTCAAAATGCAAGTTTTAGTTTCCATAGTATTTGCGTGGAGTTGAAAGGTTATTTCATAGTTGCAAGATTTGGAAAAAAGTATGAAGATAGTTTTAAAGTTTTACTTAGGTTTTACTTAACCATTTTATGAAAAGTAAACTTGGCTTGTCCTACAAATGCAGAGGTCTGTTATGTCTCACTGGCATTTCAGTTAAAGTCATGATTGCATTTGTCTTTCAAAGGCCACCGCTTGCAAGGTTAGAACAATGATTGCTACATTTATGTTGGCAACACACAACACCAATTTATGCAGAGTTAACCCACTCGGGAGACCTTAGCTTAAAAGCAGTATTTTTTTTATTCTGTTTGCAATTCTTCTTGAGCCTGGACTACATTGTTTGTACGTGTGCTGCCACTGGTCACTTCTACAGTTTCATGTGGGCGTCTTGATGTCCTCGTGATGAAGTTATTGTATTTATTTTTTCGTACCAAAGCAGGTTAGGAGATGGAGAAGTAGCTCGGTGGTCAGCACGCTGCACCCTGAATCCAGCGATCAAAGTTCAGTTCCCTTGAGTTATTCACAGCTTACATAAGTGGCAAGCGATATTAGAACTGGTCTTCTCGTCACCCCTTTTGCCAAACCTGCACTAGTCAGCATGGTGGAGCGGAGTGCCACAAACCTACACGATCAATTTGGCGTGGGGAGGCCTTCAAACATTGTTAGATTGAAAATGACGAGATTGTGTGTTGTCATTATTAAGCAGGAAGAAGCTTATGAGTAAAGCAACGTTTTAGAGAGGATAAAAATTGTCCAGATTGATGTGTTATATGGTGGAACAACTATTTTAACCATGAAAAATTGAGTAGAATCACAGAGCGTGTCAATATAACAATCTGTAATTCCATGCACATGAGTGCATCTAAACTGAAGTCCTCTGCTGATACAATTAACATCTGTCTTGAATGGTCTCTATATTATAGTAGTAGGTTTTTACCCTTTTAACTGGTACAAAACTGACACCTTTATTCAAGGCATCATGTTTGCAATGACCACAACACAAGTAGTCAAAAAAGCAAACAAAAAGAAGCAACTCTGATAAGGATGATAATATGCACTGTCCTTGAAGTTGATTGGCCCACACCCGAGACGGCTTTCTTTAGAGCCTAGTCCCCATTGGTGTTGGACCAGATGACACCAGAAGGCGTACAACTCAAACACAGTGCAATATCAGAGTATTGAGAGCTCTCAATACTCTGATATTGCACTGTGTTTGAGTTGTGCGCCTTCTGGTGTCATCTGGCCCTACACCAATGGGGACTAGGCTCTAAAGAAAGCCGTCTCGGGTGTGGGCCAATCAACTTCAAGGACAGTGCATATTATCATCCTTATCAGAGTTGCTTCTTTTTGTTTGCTTTTTTGACTACTTGTGTTGTGGTCATTGCAAACATGATGCCTTGAATAAAGGTGTCAGTTTGGTACCAGTTAAAAGGGTAAAAACCTACTATTATATTTTGCCACTGGTAAAAGAGATCTCATAGTGGTCTCTATATTACCGGGAGAGAATGTTCTTACGACCAAATCGCCCAGAATGCACCATATTTTGTCAGATCTTGGAAGCTAAGCATGTTTCAACCAACGACTATGAGAAACTGCCTGAGAATACCAAAGTGTTGTTTGTTCTGCAAGGTGGTCGGGAGAGCGCAGTCGGGCGTTGGATTTTTGAAACAATATGTGTTGCAACATTTAGTAGTATTCCCATGTAGTGTGTGTGGGATTTAATGGGGCATTGCTGTATAACCCGTATTGTTAGTATTATTGTATGTAATCAAATATGGGATGCATGCGACCAACTTAACTGGAATGGGTCTGATCTTGGAAGCCAAGGACATCAGATCTTGGAAGCTAAGCAGGTTTGAACCTGGGTTGTGTTTGTATGAGTGACCACCATGCACAGCAAGCTGCCAGAGCTAGCAGTGTTACGTTGTGGTCACCACAACGCAGTGTTGTGTTGTTCTGCTATGCTTCCACGTTTGTGTTTCCTATCTTCACCAACCCACGCTAACCAGTGTAGTGAAGTATGGTCCAATAACCCCCACGACCAGCTCTCTGTGCAGATGCTCTCATCTAGCAGTGGAGTGACGAAAATGGCTGTACAAGTACAATTATGGGATAATGTACCCTTGTGTCGTCATACGCAGTGCATTTTACAAAATGTCTAATTAACCGAATCTTAGTTTCAAAAGATTATAAGTAGACTTCTCAACATTTATTGTATCTTATTTCAGAGCGAAGTTCGGTGGGCATTTATAAATGTATGCATTAGTTGTTTTGTACCAGTTTTATATATTTTTAGATATATCAAATTTGGTGTAAATGTATATTTGCTGCAGCAGCAGTCATGAGTTTTGCCATTTATTCCGTTTTAATGCGCGTTTGATTTTCCCCAGGTGAGCCGGCCGCTCCAACAGCTGGAGAAATAACGGTACAGCAGGGCGAGCCAAAAGGTAATTGGTTTTTGCTGAATCATAAAGTATAGCGTGTGTGCAATACAGAAACTTTTCAACAACAAAAAAACATATACAGAAGTAAATAAATAAGCTGCAGTGCATAATCTGCAAATATCAGAGCAAATACTTATAATCAGCCTTTTTTACATTCCTTTTAAAATATTTTTAATATATTTTTAAATATGCCATGCAGTCGGCAGACCAGATAGTGCATTAGTTGTGCTGCCTCCTTTGAATTCATATTTGTACTGCTGTATATTACAGTAAGTTTAAACATATGCAACTGTGGCTTTAAGAAATTCATCATTATTCGTGCCTCACGTATCGACGTGACATTGGCGAACACAGCTCAGCATTTTAATTTAACCTTGTCCGTCTCATCTTACTGCCAGTGAGATGGCAAACCATTTGAGGGTTTATACTGCTGTATATTACAGGAAGTTTAAACATATGCAACTGTGGCTTTAAGAAATTCATCATTATTCGTGCCTCACATATCGACGTGACATTGGCGAACACAGCTCAGCATTTTAATTTAACCTTGTCCGTCTCATCTTACTGCGAGTGAGATCTGTGGACGTGTGCCTCACATAGACACGGGACTAACGAGTGGACCTCCCGTTAACAGGCGCTGCTGTTCCAGCACCACCCATGGATGTGGTTGTGGTGGAAGCCAGCAGGAACTATGCCGTCATTGCGTGGAAGCCACCCAGCCAAGGATCAGAGGGCCTGAAATATTTCGTCGAGAGGGTAGTGCTGCTGTTGCTACTACCTTTACCGACACATTACAGTCCACGTGTCTAAAATGCATCATTAGCAAATGTGATCTAATTAGTGATGTAAAGCATTAATTGATACTTAGCAGTTTCAATGCATTGTTGATATTGTGGAATAAATGTAAAACTTACGTGGAGACTTTTCATCTCCAAGGTACAAACAACTGTGACGTATCATGGGAAGGTGGGAGAACTACATGTAACTGACAAAAAAAAACATGACTTTAAATCTTCTTGGTTCTTTTGGTAAAGTCACGTAGAAGGGAAATAATAAAATAATAAAATATTATTTCCCTTCTACGTGACTTTACCGAAAGAACCAAGAAGATGAATCCCTGCAGTCACGAAAGCTTTAAATTACTTTAAATGTTTAATGGTCTGGAGAGATTTACCGACTTACATGAAGGCTATCACAATCCGGCAGAAACCAGAACGGGTGACGACCCTTCTCATATAGTAGCAGGACATTTCAAACCATCACGCAAACTCCAGTCATCCTCGCAGCAGATTTTGGCTAACCATCGAACAAAGACGGTCACTGCATCGCGCGCTTTGAGATGCGCTTCTGCGGCCTTCTGGAATGCTCTTCCTTCAGACATTACCCACTGGAGCTATGCACTTTTAAATATAGATTGAAAACTAATTTCTTTAGAGCTGCTTTTTGTGTTTAGTATCTCATCATGATGGTGAAGTTAGAGAACAAGTCCACGTTAATAAATTGATGACCTAATTTACAAAACTCACTGCATCATATAAAGCCAAAATCAAATGAATACATTACAATTACGAATTTGTTTTACCTAAGTGACACTGAATAATACATCAGTTCAGGTTTTGTGTTTAATATCACCTGTATCGATACCCCTCTTATTTGTGAACCTTTTATCCATAAACCATGTGAGAAATGGTCCCTCATTGATCCACAAAAATCCTATTAACCATGGGTTGCAAAAAAATTGCAAACACAAGTCACCTAGAAGTGGTCACGTCAGGCACTAAAGACACCGTGCTATGCACAGTGTCCTTGTGCCTAAGAGGAGTCATGCAGAACTCATCACTGACAAGTCCTAATTCATTCTAAGATTTTTCCCTTGCTGTCTGGCATAAGTGCCCGTTCCCTTGCTCGTGAATTTACAGCGTACAGGTGAACTACACCACCATTTTTTTTCGGAATTAATCACGTATGTTAACCATTTTCATGTTATTTATTGATTACTTTAGTTTTATAAAATTGGCGAAGATGCCAAACCATTTGAGGGTTTTGGAAGAGCCGGTGGTAAACTTACATTGAGTTTTGAGAAACCAAGAAATATTGGATACCAGATGCAGACACATTTGAAACCGAGATAAGGATTAATTAAATGCTACGTGCTCCAGAGTTTTCCGGGAATTATTTTGGATAATGCTACCCAAGTCACATTTAGCATTGTTTTACACGCAGACACACTGGTATTGTCTTAAATTAACACAACGCGTGGTTGCGTGTCACATTCCCATTATCTGGCGTTTAGTTTATGAATAACAATTGCGAAGTGAACGAACAACGGGGCCTTTCCACTTAATAATTTTGACATGCTCCGGCTCTGCGAGCAGAGCCACCCGCGCGCCTGTCATCACCGCCACTCTCTCTCGGCCCCCCTCATGGCAGTTGGTGGGAGGCACCGACAGCTGGCAGCGCCTCAACGCGGAGGTGCCCGCGCGCTCTCCGCGTTTCGCCGTCTTCGACCTCGCCGACGGCAAATCCTACAGCTTCCGCGTGCTGGCGTCCAACGCGGGCGGAGTGAGCGAGCCGTCCCGGCCCACAGGGCCCATCAACGGAGGCACGACCGTCGGTGAGGAGGCCCCCCCACTCTGTCCCTCTGCCCCGTCCCCGTCCGTGCGCACTGGCCAAAGCGGCGCCGGTCCGGACACCGTCGGTTGTGTCCACTTGGCCAGATGTGTGCTCCACAACAGGTGTTCCAAATGACAAACTAACAAGAGAAAGGGTCGCACTCAACTAATGATGTTATGCATGACGACGGACAATGTCTATATGTGTGATTGTGATGTGATGCGGCATCGGCAGCGTGTGCGTAAGCGCGAATAACAAAACATTCGACACGCTCATCAGCAGCACAGCCCAAAAGTGATAAACGGATATTGAAAAGATGACATTTTGGGCAATGGCGCTCTTCTTTATACCAAAGAGATATTTCCAATAGTGGTATGTACGTAATTATGACGTGTTTTTTATTTTTACATTGCGTTTTTCACTGAAGAGATCCCCATTGTTTAAATTAAGTGCTCTCGCCATTAGCATCCGGCTACCCAGTAGCATTGGTTTAACAAGCCTGATCTGCTGCGACCCAAATATGGAATCGATCCAGAGTTTGCTCGCTTAAGCGAATGCTCCTGGACAAGATTCGTATCCAAATTCAATATTGTATTTTATATATGAAAATATTAGTTTCACGAACTGATTTAATGAGATGATTATGAAATAGCAGTTTATAGAAGGGGTTAATAATGAAAACATTACATAAAAGTTCCAGTCTGCATGTGTTTAACTGCATTCAATCAAAACTTCAGTGTCATCACACTTACAATCATGAATTCACTTAATTCACTGGTATGTATCTGTCTGATCTTGGTTGGAATAGAAAGCGTTAGAGTAACATTTTTGGAAACGGGGTTTTAATGACACATATGTTTCTCTCAGTATACAGAATGTCATTGATAATATTACAATTCATGCCAGTGAAAAAAAACTTTAACCAAAAGAATAAAAATGTGCTAATTCAATGTAACCCTGACCTGCAAATGTTAATATCAGGGTAGCGCAGTGGTAACTTTTGCCTCATAGCCAATTGTACTTGGGTTCGATACCCAACTCAGCACACTGTGTATAGTTTGTATGTTCCCAGTGTTGGAAAATTACCTGCAAATTACTCATTTGGGATTAAAAACAGCAACATCGCCCCGACTGCGGGAAAACTTGGCAGGACCCTCCTGAAAAGGTATTGACGAGGCTTTCCTGGTTAAACTAGTATAATCATAATAATCGCCATTTCTGACACATTTTTGACATCCAAACAACACATCTGCGATTTCCTCTGCCAAATTGTCCATAATTGGCCTTTATAAAAGCATTTTGATTAATCCTATAAATAGTCCAACAATCTAGATTTATTTATGTTTTTTTATTGCATTGACAGAAGGCAATTTCCTTCGCCTCCGTGCTGCAGATTAAAGAATGTCAAATGGAAATAGCATTCGCTACGGTCGTAAAAGGCACATAATTTGACCGCACGTGAGCAGCTGGACTTAGTGGATCAATTGAGAATGAATATGGTCTGCACTGGCATAGCGGATTCATATCCTACTATTATTATTATTATCCACCAGCGGCACGAGGTCAGATGCACACATAGACATTGACCTGAGAAGCTGCAAGTCTATATCACACAGTGAGACTCAATATCCTGGCAGGAGTTAAATAGCATTGCTCTTAACCCTCCTGAGCATAACACGTTTTTGCTAATGATGAATCCCATATGAATTCGATTTTTTTGTCCATTTCACTGGTTATCTCATTCACAGATTCATACTCCTAAACTACACTGACTGATCTTTTTTATCAAATAATATTAATCTATAACTCATTTTCAGACCAATTAATTTGAAAATGTGCTACTATTTAGCAAACAATATTAATTTATAATAATCATAATCATTTGGACAATTTGTTTGACAAGTGAATCGCTGTATTAATGCACGTTGCTAATTATACGCGTAATCTTTTCTTTTTTTACAATATTTGACAACTGTATTGTCACCATACTCTGCATGTATTGCTGCCTGTGTTGCATTCTGCAATGTAGGCCTGCGTCTATCTGCAAAATTACTCTATTACTCGTCTACATCGGCTTACACTTATATAGATGGGGCAGTTAAGGAACAGCGGTATTTAAAGTGCCCCTATATGTAAGCCACGTGCATTATAAGTGGCAGAGAATACTGACCATGAGGCAGTGCTCGTTTAGTCAAAATTACACTGGTCAACAAATTTTTTTTTCTGGCCTGGACTTTTGCAGCTGTTTTAGACTAATTTCAGGGTGCTGATTCCAAATCTGATCTCAGATTTGCTCTATCACATCTCATTTTTATGCTATCGGCATACCCCATTTTCATTGATTTTACCCGAAATTAACTCTGTCATTTATGATTGCAAGTTGTTGCGAGTCAGTGACTGCTTTAGTGTTAAAATATGGTGCTGTATTTTTAGGATAGTGTGTTTATAATATCATTTTATGTAGATATCCACATTTATTTAATATTTTTCTTCTGCAGGGCGTGATCTAACAATGGCTACAACATCCGAAAGAAGGAAATGCAGTAATGACCCAGATATCTTCTGCTACATTTGTGGCAGCTTCACTTTGCAGGATCAAAGTCGCAACATCAATACCTTTGTCAAGAAGGTTTATCTTGCCTACTTTAAAGTACAACTTGGAGACCAAGACAAAAATTGGGCTCCTCACAAAGTGTGTAAAACCTGTGTTGAATCTTTGCGATCATGGTCTAAAGGAAAGAATGTTAAGCTGAAGTTTGGCGTGCCAATGGTTTGAAGAGAACCTACAAACCATTTGGATAACTGCTACTTCTGCCTTGTCAATGTAAAATGTTTCAATAAGAAAAACAAACAACACTTACAATACCCAGATATCCCATCTGCCAGACGACCAGTTGAGCACTGTGAGGAAACGCCTGTGTCTGTATTTACTGAGCTACCAGAGATTGATGTAGAATCCCTCAGTTTACCTGCTTCTACAGATGATGATGATGATCAGCTCGAATATACGCCATCTGATGCAGATTGTGATAAACTTTCTCTGTTTAGTCAGCCTGAATTGAATGATCTTGTAAGAGATTTGTATTTGCCAAAGCAGTGTGCTGAATTGTTGGCTTCCAGGCTGCAAGAGAAAGGACTACTCAGACCTGGCACTAGTGTCTCCTTTTATCGTAACAGAGAAGCAGCACTGCGAAAGTACTTCCATTCAGATGGTCAACTTGTTCATTGGAATGATGTTGAAGGGCTTCTTCTCAATATGGGACTGCCCGCATATGATTCAAGTTAATGGGGACTTTTTATTAACAGTACTAAAAGGAGTTTGAAATGTGTGTTATTTCACAACAGAACTATATATGGTTCAATCCCAATAGGACACTTTGTAAAAATGAATGAAGAGTATGCCAACATCAAGATTGTTCTGGATGATTTGAAAATGGTACATTTTCTGCTGGGTCAGCAAGGAGGTCACACCAAATACCCTTGTTTCCTGTGCTACTGGGACAGTAGGGCTACATTGGAACACTGGGTTAAAAAGAACTGGCCACCAAGAATCAGTTTGACGCCTGGTGACAAGAACATCGAGAATGAGCCTCTGGTTGATAGGAATAAAATTGTATTTCCCCCACTGCACATAAAACTTGGGTTAATGAAGCAATTCGTCAAAGCTCTTGATCACACTGGAGACTGCTTCAGTTATATATATGTTCAACCTTTTCAAGTCTCAGTGCCGAGAAGAAAAAGGCAGGAATATTTGATGGCCCTCATATAAGAACACTCATCAGGGATACACACTTTGTTACAACAATGACTGCGGTAGAGGCTAGAGCTTGGAATGCATTCTCTGATGTGGAGCGGAATTTCCTTGGGAACAGGAAAGCGGACAACTATTGAGAGATTGTGAAGGAGCTGCTCTTGAATTTCCAAGCACTTGGATATAGAATGAGCATCAAGGTTCACTACTTACATAGTCACTTGGCCCAGTTTCCAGAGAACATGGGTCACGTGAGCGAAGAGCAAGGTGAACGCTTTCATCAAGACATTAAAGTTATGGAAGAACGTTACCAAGGCCGATGGGACTCAAACATGATGGTAGATTACTGCTGGTCCTTGATGAGAGACATTCCACAAGCTGTACATCGGAGATCGTCAAAGAAGAGGTCGTTTATGCAGATGTAACATCACTATTGTGAATGACCTTTTTGTACATATTTTTCTTATCTTCACAATTCAATTCTTACATGATAATATGCATTCACTCACATTGATATGCAGTCACTCTCACAACTTTGTGCTACGGCTCATTAAATGTTTGTTTCATTATTATTGTATGTTGTATTTTATCTTATTCTTGTATGGATGTCTGTTGAGCTATTCGTATATGAGCATAAATTAGCTGTTTTTATTGAAAATGCTATATTTGATATCTCAAAAACCTGATGTGATAGACAAAAACTGATGCCAGATTTGGAATCAGCACCCCAAAATTACATTAAACCCGTTGGAATACCTTATGCCAGAAAAAGTGTGTTGACCAGTGTTATTTTCATTTTAGTATTGGTCGAGTTGCAGACAACCTGTGGAATTTTAATCACGTCCAAGTGTGGATTTCTTTAGTCATTCTCATACTCTAATCGATTAAAACTCTCAAATATTTAGTCCACTCCTACTCTATTACCAGGTCAACTTATCAGTGAATTCAGTTATTTTAAATTGTATTTATTCCAACAGTATTGGCAGCATTGCAGAGCTGCACGTATACTTTGTTTTACATAGCAACTTACCAAAGTGCATCAAAGTCTTTGTATCTTCATACAGACTAGTTAATTTCATCTCGGCAAAGCCATGCTTTGGCCGCTAATCATAATTATCAAAACTCTCGGTGATTTTCGTCCACTTATAATCATCATTCCCTGAAAATGAAGAGAAAGAAAGAAAATAAAGGAAAAATCAAGCAATCAAGCCCACTCAGTTGATCAATATGTTCATCAATGTACTTTTTTCGCGGACGCAACTAACGCTGGCGATGCCGCCGTGCCCGTGCGGGTGACCGTTCCACAGCGCAGCCGTCCTCCCCGGGCCGGATCCTCGCATCCAGGAACTCAAAGACATCAGTGGCCGTCTCGTGGGAAGCGTCCAAGCACTCGCAGGGCCTCATCGGCTACTACATCGAGTCCAGCCTCGTGGGCTCTGACCGCTGGGTGCCCTGCAACAACAAGCCTGTCAAGTACACACGGTGCGAGCCCAATGGCCTGAGCAGCAGCTGGCACAGTCTCTCGCGCCAGGGTTTCGTGGCCACACTTTGGAAGTTGATGATGTCCTGCTATGGAACCAATCCGAGTGCTTATTGTTGAGATTACAGATGCATAGGGAACAGTCTATTGCTGATGCTATCATGAATTACTGTCGCCACATTGTGCAACAGTATTGACAAAACCCTTATTTAAGGACCCGCATTCCACACAGGGTAGACAGGTGGGCTGAAGTTGGGATAAAACTCATCACGTAGGCCCTCAGCTTGCCAATTTTCCAACAGTAAGGGGTTCCTCTTCATTGTGAGACGAACGAGGCGCTACACACGACGGGAGCATCTACGTTCAGCCCAGGGTGATTTTTATAGTCACGGTGATCTTTTCTTGTGACTTTTGCCAGGTCACAGCTGAAAGTTTTCTTTTCTAGAAATTACCCAACATTTCTGAACTCAGCAGGTACATAACCCCCAAGTGATTAAATTGTTATCAAAATCTGAGATGGCCGTGCAACGGCTCTCGTTGAGTTGGTACGGAAAGACATAGTTTTAATGAGTACTTACGCCAATTGTTATTATGAGGGTTATTATGGATAAAGGGAGTAGTCGGATTGTGGTTCGTGAAAAGGTCATGGTGTGCAAGGGCATCGCAAATGCATTTTCAGCAACTATGACAACTTGGCATGGCATTGTCTAATAGTGTGGAGTTCGGTCTGGAAAATGAAAACATGCTTTGAAAAGTGAAAAATGATCGGTTTAGCTAGCACACAACCTTGGGTTGCCATGTCAATTCTTTGATCTGATTGTAAGCTTCCATACCAGCAACCCACAGGGTAGAGTGAACAGATTTGTGCAACTATATTATTTACAATATAAAATGGTGCAGCAACTATTTCCCCATCGATTATTGACAGAAATTGCTGCTCAAAGATTGCTCTGGTGTATCATGGACTTTAGTGTGAAGATTAGTGGTATACATTTGGACTTAGGTTTAGGGGTTAAGGCAAAAGTATTAGTTCACTATTTATTTTCAGTTTAGAGGAAAATGCCTGTTCTCTGCTTAACAATATCATGGCCTTTTAAGCGGTGTGCTTTTGACACCTACAATTTTAAATGCCATTTCTAACACTTGTAAGGGCTCAAGGGAGCGACCTCAGAAGTCGTCACAATTGACACGGAACTCTATTCTTTACAGTGTGTGTCGAAATTTGGCTGGTTCTCAACATCAGCAGCAAGAGTCCATTGCTTAAAGGACAGGTTGAGGTTGGGGTAAAATACTAAGTATTGCTTATTCCTGCAGTCACGAAAGCTTCAAATCAAGATTGATTATTCCATGCCTCTTGTTGCAAGTTCGCTGCTCTAGTGTTATGGTTAGCACGGGAGACGCAGTCTTTGCCGGTATCAATCTCCCAGCATGGCAGTTGTACATATGCATGTTGAACTTCTTTCGCACCGTACATAGCCAACCGTGCTCATCGGAGATGCGGGGGAAGGACAACAGACTAAACAATCGTGCTAGTTAACTCAGTCCTACCGAGCAATATAAATGGGTTCACCAAAGTTGATCGGCGGGGTCCTACAGTGTGGAGTATAGTGTATGTACTCCAACCTCTTCATAGGCGCCTGGTCAGCATTAAAATAGTAGGCCAGATTCTCGAGCTAAATTACACTCGGTGGCACGAGCAAGAAATTGCAAGGGTACAACATTGATCGTAACGTGATTCATTGGCGTTGTGGGTGGTGGTGGCGGCTGTGGGGCTGGCTGTCTGCTGCTGTGCAGGTTTGTGGTGCACGGGCTGGAGACGGGGCAGAAGTACGCGTTCCGCGTGCGTGCCGTGAACACTGCGGGCTTCAGTGACTTCTCGCAGGAGTCCGATGCTGTGACGGTGCTGCCACCTATAGGTGCGTATCCTCTGCCATGCCTTTGCCTAGTGGCTAAATTAAAATGCATTCAGCAACCAAACTGGTGATGACAATACAGCAGTCATCCCCCCCCCCTACCCTACTCCCAATTCCTTTCTGTGAAACATTTTTGAATGATCACTTTGTCAAAACAAATTGTTAAATACCAACATCTTCTTTGTGCTGGCGATTGGATGAGGGGCATGCTAATCAGTTATGTCCATCTCTAGCCCATTCACGTGAATTGTAATTCATAACAAACAACAATAAGCTTCAATTTGGTAAATAATTGGTAATCATCTTCGAATTGTTCATGTCTTAAATACTTGATTTCGCCTCATCCATCGTATTCAACATTCTCGTTCAATCTTTATTATTTAGTAACAGTACACAGGATATGACTCGTTTCCATGTTCGACATCTTGGCCTCTATTTTGCGTTGAGTGCCCCCAAGTGGCAAACTGCAGGTATTTAGGGGAAAAACTACGAATTCTGGATTTTGTGAGTGGATTATGTGTGGGAATTGGTGAAGCGGTTCGTATGCATTCAGTGATTAAACATTGACTCTTAATGTTAATGATACAAGCATCACATTGCAAGTGTCAAAAATTGTGTTTTTCAACTCGTGCCAAAAAATATATAATAATGTGCTAATGCTACATTGAGGATAATTAAGCTACCAAAACTGTTTAAACGAAACAGAAAAAAAATCGGACAATAAACAAACAAAAGGAAAAAAATGTGACTAATGGCATTATGACCCAGAATCACAACAATGTATCATAACACCAAGTGGAGGTGAAGTGTTACAACGCTAGTGGTTCGAACATTCCATTACAAACCTCGTAACTTTCTTCTGATTTATTTAAATATGCATTGCCTATTGATTCGCGGGAGAGTAATTGAGGTGGTTTCTCCTGAATTGCATTAATTACTTGCCCTGCTCTGCAGTGCGCCATTGCCATTCTTAGATGTTCATCTGTCACCTGTTTGTTTGCCTGGTATATCCATTGACTGACCAGCAGAGCGTCCACATGCATCAGACCAGATGCCATCCTTGCCAGATAACAGGGACCACTTGTAACCCTAACTCTTGGGACGCTAGCAGGTTCTACCAACCTCGGTCAGACTGGACCTGGAACTCTGGATGACAGGGGCATTTGCATATCTGTGGTGTAGTGTGCAAATTACACTACACAGTACATTGTCTCACTGCCCCTGCATTATTATAGCGGAGAGCACCTATTCAGCTATGTTGGGAACACTGAGAGAGCCACGGTCTCTTGTCCACAACGGACCATAGTGCACACCACCATTGCACACTTACTGCATGACGCTTCCACATGGCATGTAAAACTAAACATCCAATACATTATACTGCTGCTCCACACAAATATCCCCCATTTACATCGTTAGACCTTTTTTGCCAGTACCAAAATATAATAATAGGGTTTTTCCCCTTTTTTGGCAACAAAACTTAAACCTTTTTACAAGGATTCATGTCTGCATTAACCACAATACTTGCAGTCAAAATGCAAGCAAAAAATATACTATGATAATATATGCATTGTCCTTGAAACTGATTGGTCCACACCAAGGGACGGCTTTCTTTTGAGCCTCGACCCAATTGGTGCTCGATCAGAGGACGCCAAAAGGCGTTAAGCTCAAAGACAATGCACTATCAAAAAAAGCTGTCCTTTGGTGTGGACCAATCAGTTTCAAGGACAATGCATATATTATCATAGTATGTTTTTTTGTCTGCATTATGACTGCAAGTATTGTGGTTAATGCAGACATGAATCCTTGTAAAAAGGTTTCAGTTTTGTTGCCAGAAAAAAGGGAAAAAACCCTATTATTATATCCCCCATTTAGCCTTCACAGTCTGTTGGGACAAGTGCTGTTAGCGGGCACTTATGAAGGCCAGCACGGCACATGGAGTGGGTGGGTGTCCAACACCCTGCCTGGTCGCTTTTGTCTCCCAAGTGGTGATAGTTACACATTGCACCAGTGACTCATTTATGAAGCTGAGTCGATCCAAAACCCATTTGGATAATCGTTGCTGGTGTTGGTGGCCATGAGCAGAGAATCAAACTCGAATCGCGGGGTTCGTAGCACAGTGCGCTAATGACTGCACTGCGGTTTCCCACAGTGTACCTGTGTGTGGTGTGCTGAGTGCCTTAAGCTCTGCTTCAATGGGACTCGAGTAAAGTTTGGTATAGAGTAAACAAGACCTTGGAACTAATGGACTCCTTTATCTCTATAGTGAAGTGTATGAAGGGTTATAATGTTAAGTAAGATAGTGCTTTTTTTAAGAAATGAGCTGCATCAATGTATGATGAAATCTTGATTTATTTTTCTTTGTCAAGCGCTGGCCTTTATTTTTATTGAAGAGACAAATATTTAAATACTTCAGAGCTCGGGTAAGTTTACCTTGAAGATGATGGGTGCTGATCGATGACGATGAGTTGCAAGAATACATTTTGCAGACACTCATTTATATTTGCTCCATTTAATTCCAAAGGAGTTTTTAATTGCAGAGCATTTGCTATCATTTTCTGGTGCTGAGTTCTAATTTACCCAAAAATTACCACTCACCTGTGTGTCTACCAAATTAAATTTTCAAAATTGTGTACCATTCCACGTCAAAATTTAGATGTACGGTATTAGTTTCAAAATGTATTCAATGCAGTTCAGTTTAGTTAAGCACATTTTACATGGTAATCCGAATTTAATTAAATACACACACCATTCATCTGCCATTTTGCAGAACGTTAATTATATCCATTTAGTTTCATACAGTTCTTGCTTTGACTACACCGTCATGCAAAGGGTTAAAGGAATTGTTTTGGTAAACAGAGGTTAAGGGAACACTGGAAATCACGATGGACATGGTAAGCAGTCTAAATAATCCAACACCACATCTGGGCAATATTAGCGCGCAGTGCTATTTCATATTGCTGAGACATAAATCATTATGGATTAGCTATTCTTTTTATGGAATTCTTTGGTGGCCAGGGCTGAATTGTAGCTGCAAAAGTGGATATCATTTTGCGGTAACAAAAAACTAATCAATATACAGGGTGCTTCAAGAAAATGTTAACTCTTCTGAGAATTTGCAACAATACCACAAGAAATGTGCCTCCTGGCTCTGGAGACCACCTGGAGAAGATTCCAGGCATGTGTTGACAATGATGGCGAACAAGTGGAGACTCTTTGACTTTTTTAAGCTATTAACATACATTTGTTATCATGTTACAGTATATTATTCATTCTTTTTCCAAAAAAACGATAGTCCCATATAAGTGTTAAAAACATTTTGAGGCACCTTGTATATGTACAAAAGCCTTGTAATCGTATGAACTGCCATAATGACCAGTGTAGTGTAAGGTGGCGCCCCACTCGAGATATGGCTTCATCAGTATGCCTTGGCACTTTGTCTCGGGTCCACCATGCTCAAAAAATACATCCCTGCTGCGGGAGAACAATTGTTCATCAGAAATGTAGATCAATTTATATCTGGAAAATAATCAGGTTGGGTTTGATGATACGACTGCCATTCTTTGTATGCATATAAATAATCGGCTTTTATATAAAAATAAAAAAATTATTTGACTGAAATATCTTTTTTTTGCCGCGAAAAAAAATGGCTTTGCATGGCAGCCGTACCAAATTTGATAGAAAGTACTTTAGATACCCAAAGCGTAATCTACTCTCCTGTGCATGCACACTTAAATAAATGTGTAGTGAGCGACTTCTGAGGCACGTCGTGTAGAATGCTTATTATTTATTAAGAGCACACTGGGCGATACATTTATGTAACGCAGCTACACATCGCCGACCCTAACACACAACCCCATCATCAGCATCCAACTACGCAGCTGCCCGACTAGTTCAGTGACGGCGATGGTGAGAGCCTTGCAGGAGATTGGCCACGAGGTCAGACGACGTAAAGAGATGACGGTGAGCAGCGATGCAGCTAGGACCCAGGGCGCTCCAGCTTGGCCAAGCCCCGCCTCTGGACACGCCCCCTTCTAGAACCCTCGAGCAGATTCCCGGAGCTTCTCGACTGACTCCGCCTTTCATCTTTACCCCAGATACACCCTCATAATTAGGCATTACGTAATATACCTATAACCGCGATTACACCTTCAGGCCGATAGGTGGCACCCTGTCATTACAAATGTATACATTTGACTTTGGGTTTGATTCATGCAGCTATTTTGGCCATCATTCTGCCACAAAGTGGTTTAAAAAAACATATGAAAAATGCAATGTTTAATGAGTCATGCATGACCAATTATGCTATGCCCACAATCCCATTTCACCACTTCTCTTGCCACAATTTCTAAATGGATAAATGTGCTGGGATTACAGTGGAGTTATGATGTTGACCCAGAATAATTGCAAAAAAAAAAAAGTCATGCCATTGGTTGGACTCACATCAATAACACTTTGGAGGATCTGGTTTGTGCCAGGGAGAGTGTTACAGTCCAGTCTGCATATGTGGCACCTCCATCCGTTAGCACCTCCAATTTACCCTTTTATATTTGACCCGTGAACTGCAGAGTATGTTGGAAAGTGGCAGAATGGAGACTCACAGGAAAATAATGACATTGATGATGATGTAGAAATAAGATAATGAAGCTGATGATAATAATTATGATTTTTATACATTTATTCTGATATTGATACATGAGTGCTGCCACTGCTGCTGATGATGAAGAAGATGTAGCAGAGGTCGAGCTGCTCAGCAAAGCCAAACTGAGTCGTAAGATCATATGGGAGGGAACTGGTTATACCTTAGAGTGGATAACACTCAAATAGATTAAATAATACATTGATGCACTGTCATCTCGCAGCCTTGTGGCTTTGGGAGTTTTATAAATCCCCATGTGATTCACCAACTCAAATCTCCAAAGTGATGGATCACACACTGCGCCAGGCACCCATTTGAAGTCGAATCAAATTAGAAGAGGCTCAGAATAGGTTTTAAAACAATT